TAGTATTTACTTTTAATGATGATTTAAAAAGAGAAAAAATAGCTAGTTTTCAAAAGAAAATCTTGTACCTTTAATATTCCTACTGGTTCCATTGTTGAAATAAATCATTTTATCCTAAAAAATAATCTCGTTTCATTATTAGAAGTTTAGATTTGCATCGTAAAGAGATCATGAGGGGCATAACCTACTGGTATTTTCACGTAGAACATTCTGTACCACTCAGGTTTCCCAACAAGAAGAGCGTCAACTTGATACCTGAAATGTCATTTTAACCATGTACTAACTTCAAACACATACCCCAGTGTGGAATGACAGATCACACTGGAGTGATTTCAGTGTACAACTTTCAAGTCACTCTGAAATTGGCTACTTTCACCTTAGGGGGTGCCAACAAAATCATGGGACATACTTTACAGCCTGTCTTCCACTACTGAAGAATCTAATTATAGAACTGGAAAGATATGCCACCAGTCTTAGCCTGCGCACCCCACTCTCTGTGTCCCAGTTTATACATAGGGACATTACACTGCTGGCCCTCAGCATTGGAAGACTTAGGTCCATGGCAGTTGGCCCGTCTTCAGAGAACCTTGCTTGAAGATTTCTGTTACCATTAACTGGCCATGAAAGGGGTTGGACCCCTTAAAATGAGCACTTTACAGTGGTGAGGGAATGAGGCCCTCTGGGTGTTTGTGGGCACACTGCATTTATGCTTCGTCCACTGTGTGTCCTCCGTGTGCTTTTCTGAGTGTATTTTTTACATCAATAAAAAATTTACTGGACAAAGAGGCAATGTAATATAGTGCTACAGTGTATTTCTACCCCCCACTTAAAAAATGCGTAAAATACACATAACATAAAAGTTACTTTAACTATTTTTAAGTGTGTAGTCACCTTGTACATCCATGTTGTTGTGTAGGCATCACCACAGTTCATCCACAAAGCTTGTTTTCATCTTGCAAAAACGGAAACTGTACTCATTAAACAGTAACTCCCATTCCCTCCTCCCCCAGCCCCTGGCAGCCACCATTCTTTCTGTGGGTATGACTTCCCTAAGCACCCATGGTAAGTGGAGTCATGCAGTATTTGTGTTTTGTACTTGACTTATCTCACTTACCATATGGTCCTCAGGTTCATTCAGGTTGTAACTTGTGTCAGAATTTTCTTTCTTGGAGGCTGAATATTTTCTTGTGTGTATAGATAGCACGTTGTGCTTGTTTATCCACTGATGGACTCTCTGGCTGCTCTGTTTTACCTGTTGTGAATATGGACATGACTGTGTAAATGTCTCTTCAAGACCCTGCTTTCAGTTCTTTTGAGTACATACATACCCAGAAGTGGAGTTGGTGGGATCATGTAGTAAATCTATTTCTAATTTATTTGAGGAACTGCCATACTGTTTTCCACAGCTTGCTTGCTCTTTTAAAATTGGGGGCAACATAAAAGTGAACAGTATGAAATAGGTGAAGTAATACATTGCACTGTAGTCTACCTTGGCAGGAATCCAGTGTAACTGTGATTAAGTACTTCTCTTTTTCCCCTGGAGAATGAAACATTCATTCAAGAAACCTGTGTATCTGTTGCAGGTTGATTCTCAGCAGTGAGCACATCCTTGCCTCATGGAACATGCAGACAACTATTGGTTTTTAGAAAATACCTTTCCTGGAATAAAGTTAGATTTTTAGACCACAAGTATCAAACCAGTAAGTTAGCAATTTCTTCGGGTAGAAAAAAATTGCTTTATAGGTGACCATTTAAGCAACCTTGTTGCTTTTAAGCAACATAAGTTTACCTTATACGGTATTATTTGAAGGGAAAATGAAGTCTTAAGAAGTAGAGTTTTAAATTTTTCATGGTTTTCCCATTGGGAAGGAAACCTGGTGTGAGTACAGTTGACTGACAGTCGAGAGATTAGTAGGTTCCAGTCCTGACTGTACAATTTACTATTTGGTATTCATTCTCCTGGATTTTTTACTTTGATTTTTACCCCATCAAACTCCTTTTGTTGTTGTTGAGTCACTAAGTCCTGTCTGATTCTTTGTGACCCCTTGGACTGCAGCACACGTCCCTGCCCTTCACTGTCTCCCAGAGTTTGCTCAGACCCATGTCCATTGAGTCGGTGATGCCAAACAACCATCTCATCTTCTGTCATCCCTTTCTCCTTGTGCCCTCAATCTTTCCCAGCATCAGGGTCTTTTCCAGTGAATCAGCTCTTTGCATCAAGTGGCCAGAGTATTGGAGCTTCAGCATCAGTCCTTCCAGTGAATATTCAGGGTTGATTTCCTTTAGGGTTGACTGCTTTGATCTCCTTGCAATCCAGGGAGCTCTCAAGAATCTTCTCTAGCACTACAATTCATAACTTTTTTAAAAAGGATTTTGTCCAGTATTGTTAACTAATATGCTAGTATCACTTTGAATCCTAGTAATACCTAGTTCTGTTTTCAAGCTCATTCTCTGTTCTGAATTCCAGACTTGTGTTTCCTGGTGCCAGCTGAACATTTCTTGAACTTCAGATCCCATTTCTGAAAACTAATTCGTTCTCCTACTATGAATTTACTTCTCCCCATATCATCTCTTCAACTCAGTGAGTAGTGTTCTGTGCAGTTGGCTGCCTGAGCAAGAAGCCTGAGTCATCTGAGTTCTTTCTGTCTAGTCTTCATGGACCCTCATTCAGTTATCCAAATGTCGATTTTTCTGTACTGAGCATATCTTGAGTTTGTCCCTGTTCTCTGAATTTTGGGCCGACCCTGGACTCCTTGCCTTGCATATGCTGTTTTCTCCTCACAGAGTACCTTTCCTCTACTCTGCTTGGCAAACCCCCATTGCTTTTGGGCAGAGTTAGTGACGCTTGAGTCTGCTCCTAGAACACATGAGGCAACTTTTCAAAGACCTTAAATCTGCTCTGCTTGCTGGGAGTTACCCAGTTTGACTTGTGTAGGATTTCTACATCTGTTCATAGACTCAGAGCACCTCTCAGTTAACTTGCTTTTTCTTGCCAGCTGTTATGTATTGGGTTCCTTTCTTTCTTTTCCCTCTCTTGCTCTCTCTCTCTCAACTTGTGTGTAATACGGCAAGCGGAGCATTCATAGAATCTTGATGAATGAAAAATTTCTCTTTGAATAACTTAGAATATGCTAACTATTCCCTTAGAATAACTCTTTGGATTAACAGATAATGGTGCTCTGAAGTCTTACTTCATCTCCATCTCACTCCCTTTTCCTGTTAAAAATCTTAAGAACAAATTAAAGCCTAATTCCAGATGCTTCCCCTGTTTTTATTCTTCTTAGCAAGAAAATCATTTATGCAAGTACTGTTGGACCATAGTTCAGCTGCTAAGTAACCTGATCTCTGAGCCTCAGTTTCCACATCTATATAATGGGGGGTAAAATACCCTAGAGGGCCATCCGTAAGAATTACGTGAGGTCCTGTGATACAGAATTTAACTTTGCCGATCCACAGTAAATGTTAGATCCCTCTTCCCTGAAACAGAGTGAAATGGTGGGTGTGAAACAGCTTTGTAAATAAGTATGTATAAGCCACTAACATTGTTTCCTGTTTCAGAAGTGGACATTTATAGCATAGTTTATAATCTCACTACTAGAATATGCTTGCTCAGGCCTTTATGTGATAGGCACAGGTCCAGTTTTGGTGATGTTTAAAGATTGTGTTTGTTCTTCTTCTAAAAACTTGAGAGAACTCTTGCAACAAACTCAGATGGTTCATGAAACTAACAGCTGGCTAATTCTTAGTCTGATTTGAACTCTTGAGCTAATGCTTAGTCTTGTGTGTCCACCACATATGAACACTAAATGTACCTTTCACCCTCTCTGCATGCTGGCTAGGCCCTCCCACTTGGCCCCACTCCTCCTTTCCCCCGTAAGAATTTTGCATCTCTTGGGATTTATGAGCATAACATGTACCTTGGCTTCTTCCTGTTTTCATTTTTTTTAGTTGGATTGGCTATGATAATCTCCTTACTTGGATATGTAACTTAAATCTCTAAAATAAGCTTTTGTCCTACGAGTTTATGAGTTAGAGGGCCAAGGACTTGGAATTATTGAACTCCTAGGAAACTTATGTGATCCAGCTTAGAGAAATACTGATGACTTCTGAAAGTGTTTTTACCACTTAAGACCATTTAAATGTCATCCTATTCATAAAACATTTATGTGCACAGCGCTCTCTGGGAGCTCAGAGGGGTATGAAAGTGTGCTCTGGCCCTGAGGTTTTACCTTCCAGGGTAGTCCAGTTAGAGTTCAAAACAGCTAAAAAATACTGAAATATCAGACATTAAGCAACTTAAATGCAAAACATTACCAGTAATATATGCCCTGTCAGTCAGAGGCATTGTTCTATTTCATAAAAGTGTGGTGAATTTTTATTTCTTTACTTATGAAGTAGAAGTTAGAATACCCTGAAGAATCGCTGTGATGATGTAAATGAAATTGAATATATAAAACCTAGTTGTAGTACATAAAATCCACATATATTCTTCCTATATTACTGAAAGAGTAGTATATGGCATATGGGAAAAAAAAATGCAGGCAGAATAAAGTGAAAAGTAAGCTGCCTCCCTCCTAACTCTAGGTTCTTCCTTGTGTATATACTTGTGCACCGAAAACAGTTTTGAATATTTAAATAGTTATCCTGTGTATAGAAGTATATGTGTTTATGATTATATTCTTTTATTAGAATATGTAAGTGGGAATGTTATACATGTATTTTTTGTATTCTGATTTTTTCATTTAAAAGTAGATCTTGGCAGTCCTTTTTTCAACAAAATAGGTTTTTTTAAAATACGTTATTTATTGTGCTTAATGAGTACAGAAAATTTTAGTTTTAGTGTATAATAATACAATCTGTGTCTTCCCACATCACTCATGCAAATACGTTAATGCAGAGCTTTCTCTCCTGTAGAGTCAACTCAGTATCCTGAATATCCACCCTCCCAAGAAGAAGGGACAGAAAGAAAGACTTCTTTGTCAGAAAGCCTTGGGTGTCCCATGAACGAGACAGAGGAAAACCGGCTGGAGAACAGCAAGACTCCAGAGCCAGCTCTCAGGCTCAGGAAAGGGCACCAGCTCGATGGCGCGAGGAGTGGTGACAGTGACGTCCACCACAGAGGGCGGGAGCCTCTTGTAGAGGCATCTGTCCTTTCTTCCTATCATAAAAAAGTAAGTTAAAATGAAAGAATGGTGAGTAAAAACACATTTATGAGAATGTGCCTGGAGGAAGAATGTTACAAATTAGGGGGACTCTGCTGGAGAGAGGATGGCGTTTTGAAAAGGAATCTCGAGCACATTTGTAAGATTTTGAAGTCTCTTAAGTTATCTAGACAACCTTTTCTGTTGACATGTAAAACCACACTTAAACTGTCCTATCTTGTTGAAATGGGTTTTGTAGTTACCATATATCCCTTATAGTTTGACCATGCTTTAGTGAGGGCATTATCGTTTCTATTTTTGGAGAAATCCTGAGTGTGTGCTGAAACTGCTTCTCTAGATGCTTTGTCCTCAGTGCATATTGTGGGAGACAGTAGGCTTCTGGGAAAAGAACCTGGTCTTTTCTTTTACCTTCCAGAGGGAAGACCACCTTTTAGGTGACTCAAGCAACTCTGCCTGGAGAGCAAAGGTGTAGATGTCTGTGAGCAGGGGCCACTGGTCTGTATGGCTGTCTTTATGCCAGTACCATACCGTGTCCATGACTGTAGCTTTGTAATATGTCTAGAGTGTGATGCCTCCCGCTTTGTTGTTCTTTCTCAAGACTCATTTGACTGTTCAGAGTCCTTTGTCATACCATATGAATTTTAGGATTGCTTTTTCTATGACTGGGGTTATCTAAAAGGAAGTGGACATGTATTAAGCGAAACTAGATGAGGCTTGACTTGGTTCCTGAAGGACTGGAAAGCATTCCAGGCAAAGGGAGTAGCAGATGTGCAGACTCAAACGGCGCAGTGCTTTTAGGGAGTAGCAGTGATGACAGTAGCTAAGTGTCCAGTGCACACTGGTGGATGCTGGCGTGTGAACCTGCAGAATGTTCGGTATGGCTGGAATGAAGGACAGAGGGTACCGGGCGTCAGTTTGTTAACAAGTAAGCCTAGACAGTGGAGCCTAAAGTCCAGATCTTTAATCCTTGTCCCAGTATTTTACCAGCCAAAATTCTTTCTGAAATGTGTAGTGTTATGTATTGGTTGAAGGGCATAGACTATTACTTCTAGGTCTCTGACTCTCAAGCCTTGGCTCTTTCAGCTGTATTTGCTGAAGTTTATAGTTTGTGTTTCATAAGCATCTATAGATAACACAAAAGAGACATTTCAAACCAGGTTACCCTGATCTTTAGTTTTATGGCTTTATTTCATATCTCTGAGTTTTTAAGGTATAAAGTTAAATAAAGAGAGCAGCCTTTATGGTTGTCCTACTTTTCCTCTGCTCCAGATTCTTCCTCATAAGTGGGGGCTGGAGCCAACTGTTCATTCATTCAGCCTAGGATTTATTGGACTGATTTGCTTTAACCAAACTCATAAGAATGCCACAGTTTGTTAGTTTATCATAAGAAAGATGATTTGTACTTAGACTCCTGTCTGCCAGTCACTTCGTTTTCTTTTCTTGAGGTCTACTTAGGAAACTCAATAAAGATTAGAAAACAGTTGCTTTGTGAGAATTAAAAAAAAAAATTAGATGATTTTTTTTTAATTAGATGATTTTAAAGATCTTTTCCATCAAACTGATGGAGAGAACTAGTCTTTAAGGTTAAGAGTATGTATATTTCTAGGCAGACCAGAATGAATGTTCTCGTAGACTGGCCGTCACACTTACTGTGTTGGATGATACCAGAGACTCAGTCATCAGCACGCACTCTTTCAGCTCCTGTTTTTGTGGACACCTTAGTTTCCACTGACCCCTGTGTGTGTATGGGCTAGATATATCAGCGTGCTAGTGCCCTTACTACACACGGCAGATTTTTAAATTTAAGGCTGGATTCAAGCTGTCAACTTTCCAAAAAGACTATCAAGATATCCCGCTGATGTATAACTGAATCACTTTGCAGTACACATGAAACTAACAGAGCATTGTAAGTTCACTGTACTTTAGTTAAAAAGATGGTTAATCAAAAAAGGCAAGCAAGCAAGCACACAATAACTTGTTGATGAGATGAAGCGAAGTTTCTTACTGCAGTAAGAGTGAGCAGCACCCTAAGGGTCTTGTTTAGAAAGGAGAGGTTGCGGATAGCTGTCTGTGTGGTTTGGGGCCTTACTGTCGTGGTTTATGGCAGATCTTTCAGTACCGAGATCATATTGACATTGCACAGAGTTTATGATAGTTTTGGTAGTTGGAGCAAGTCTAGTGAGCAGATACTTGATAAGGGAGCAGATTTGCCCAGTTCAGCAACTGTACTAAGGAGCTAGTTGAGCAGTCTAATGTTAGTGAATTTTTGAGAAGTTCTGAAGCTCATAATAAAGTTACCTAGTGGTTTGTGTCCTTAATCTTCCTGGGCAGGTATTTTCTGAACACATGAAGTCATAGTGTATGGGGGCCTTAGCTTGTAGTCCTTGTAATTATGTGGATACAGCAGGCCTCAATTCTCAGACTTCTGGAGGGGCACACACACTTTGACCCAGGTTTGGTGTCCTGGCCCTGGATACCCTTCCGTTTCCTTGACCTTTATATTTTCATCGTGGACAGCATTACGATCATGATTAAGAACAAGTGGCAAGAATATTGTGCAAAAAAGTCCTAATGACTTGGATAACCATGATGATGTGGTCACTGACCTAGGACCAGACATACTGGAGTGTGAAGTCCAGTGGGCCTTAGGAAGCATTACTACAAGCAAAGCTAGTGGAGGTGATAGAATTCTAGCTGAGCTATTCAAAATCTTAAAAGACTATGCTTTTAAAGTGCTGCACTTAAATGTCAGCAAATTTGAAAAACTTAGCAGTGGCCACAGGACCAGAAAAGGTCAGTTTTTATTCCACTCCCAAAGAACAGTAATGCCAAAGAATGTTCAAATTACCATACACTTGCACTCATTTCACGTGCTCGCAAGGTTATGCTCAAATTCCTTCAAGCTAGCTTCAGCCGTACGTGAACCAAGAGCTTCCAGATGTACAAGTTTGGCTTTAGAAAAGGTTGAGGAACCAGAAATCAAATTGTCAACATCCGTTGGATCATAGAGAAAGCAAGGGAATTCCAGAAAAACATCTGCTTCATTGGCTATATGAAAGCCTTTGATTGTGTGAATCATAACACACTGTGGAAAATTGTTAAAGAGATGGGAATACCAGACCACCTTACCTGTCTCTTGAGAAACCTGTATGCAGGTCAAGAAGCAGCAGTTAGAACTGGACACGGAACAACGGACTGGTTCAAAATTGGGAAAGGAGTACGTCAAGGCTGTATATCGTCACCCTGCTTATTTAACTTATATGCAAAGTGACGACATGTGAAATACCAGGCTAGATGAATCACAAGCTGGAATCAAGATTGCTGGGAGAAATATCAACAACCTCAGATATGTAGATGATACCACTCTAATGGCAGAAAGTAAAGAGAAACTAAAGAGACTCTTGATGAGGGTGAAAGAGGAGAGTGAAAAATTCAACATTCAAAAAAACTAAAATCCTGGCATCCAGTCCCATTGCTTCATGGCAAATGGAAGAGGAAAAAGTGGAAACAGTGACAAATTTTATTTTCTTGGGCTCCAAAGTCACTGCTGATGGTGACTGTAGCCATGAAATTAAAAGATGCTTGCTCCTTGGAAGAAAAGCTGTGATAAACCTAGGCAGTGTATTAAAAAGCAGAGACCTCACTTTGTGGACAAAGGTGTATATAGTCAAAGCTATGGTTTTTCCAGTAGTCATGTACGGATGTGAGAGCTGGACCATAAAGAAGGCTGAGCACCACAGAATTGATGCTTTTGAACTGTGGTGCTGGAGAAGACTCTAGAGAGTCCCTTGGACAACACGGAGATCAAACCAGTCAGTCCTAAATTAGGAAATCAACCCTGAATATTCATTGCAAGGACTGAAGCTGAAGCTGAAGCTCCAATACTTTGGCTCCTGATCGCAAGAGCCAATTCATTGAAAAAGATCCTGATGCTGGGAAAGGTTGAGGGCAGGAGGAAAAGGGGGCGATAGACGATGAGATGGTTGGATGGCATCACTGATTCAATGGGCATGAGTTTGAGCAAACTTCTTGAGATGAAGGACAGGGAAGCCTAGCATGCTGCAGTCCATAGGGTTGCAAAGAGTTGGACATGACTGAGCAACTGAACAACAACGACTGTAGCCTGTGGCACTTGTCTACTGACTTCTAGTATGTAAATATGTGATTTATGTCCAGCTCTACCCCTAAGTTTCAGCTGAACTGAGCTAGTCTGTTTTCTTCAAAATAGTGCTTTTGCTTTCCCCTCTCGACAGTTCTTTTATCTTTCCAAAATTCTAATTCCTCATGCAGCGTTTCCTGAGCTCCACATTCCGTTTCTAAACTGACTGTACCTTATTTTTGTTACAGTTATCTTTGTGGCTAATTTGGTCCCTTATTAGATTGTACACCCATGGAAGGCAGAGACTGTATTTTACTCACTTTATAGAAAACATCCTTTTAATAAATATTTATTAAACTGAATTGAGCTGAGCTGGGTTGAAGCAGACAAACCCCCAGTAGACTGATGGGTTATTGTCATTTTATTAGACTGATCTTTAAGGAATTTGGTCTTTATCACTCTGGTTCTCTTTCCAAAGGTAAAGTACACCCCGGAGAATTAACATTTTAGCTTGTACTTTGTATGGGTCATCAGTTGGATATTGTTGTGTTTTGAGAGATAACCCACTTTAACTTTTCTCACAGATGACGGGAGCAGGAAAAAAAGATTTGAAAGCGTCTTTGTAATCACTTCAGAGCACTGATGTCTCTCTAAGTGTAGATATAGTGATTTATTCACAGGAAGCCTTAGAGCATTGCGGTTTCTGCCTTTACTTTAGGCGGCTTGGGTTTTCGTCGTTCACCACTCACACTGCCCTGTTTCTCTTCATAATTCGTGTTGGTGGCAGTTAGAGGTGTGACGATAGGAGCAGAACTTAGCGTGCGTTTAGCCCCCGTGTGTGATCGTCTTAGATGAAGTTCATTGTTGAAACAGGTCTTTGGGTCTGTGGTTTAGTGGCTACTGGAAGGGGAATTGAAAGTAATTTCCACTCCTGACAAGGTCAGTCTTTAGAGTTCACATTGGAAGACAGAGGCTTGTAAAGAATGTATATCGTTCCCAGTGCGGACTTTCCAGACCTTCATCATGTGGCAGAGCTATAAACTTGCCTGTGTGTCGTGGAGAAAGCATTTTTGTCCTTGTTCTGGCCACTTAATTCCTACTGTGTTATCCTCTGTTTAGCCAAGGAAACTACATTTACCACCACCCACTCTGTGAAGATCTCTGATTAGCAACTCTGCAATGCTTGACCACAATAAATAGCTATTCACGATGTTGTGTTTTAGACATTTGTTTTTTGAGGCCGTGTTTGTGAGTATTCTGTTATAAGAGGGCTCAGTAGTTGTGGTGCACGGGATTAGTTTACTAATAGTTTTGGTTGTGCTGGGTCTTTGTTGCTGCTTGTGAGCTTTCTCTAGCTGTGGTGTTCAGGCTTCTCACTGTGGTGGCTTCTCCTGCTGTGGCGCACAGGTGCTACGTGCACAGCTTCAGTAGTTGCAGCAGACAGGCTCAGTGGTTGTGCCTTGCTGGCTTCAGGCGCACGGGCTCAGTACTTGTGGCATGTGGGCTCCAGCGTTGCAGTTCTGGGCTCTAGAGCGCAGGCTGTAGTTGTGGTGCGTGGGCTTAGCTGCCCCAGAGCGTGTGATGGCCTTCCCTCTCAGACCAGGGATCGAACCCAGGTCCCCTGCACTGGCAGATGGGTTCTCATCCATCAGGGAAGGATGAGAATCAGGACTACCACCAGGGAAGTCCCTGCCCAATGTGCATTATAGATTTAGACAAGAATGCTATCACAGTAAGGTGGTTGTCAGGATTAAATTAACTGGCCTGCCTTTTGTGCTTGGTGTGTTTTAAAGATTTAGTAAATAGTTTTGCAGTGTTTTTTCCTCCTTTCCGTCTTTTCCCCTAGAGCACTTACTGCATTGTATTTATTTTACACGTTCCGGGTGGGATTCTTGGATATTTTCCCGTCAGTAGTCTCTCAGCTTTGTATATGTAATAGTATTTTGTGGTCTGTGAGTATAATTCTTAAAACAAAAAAAAAAGCATCCAAGGCCACTTCTGAACCTTGCTACTTAAACAAACAGGAATGCTGCTGCCGTAGTTCCAATTGTCTGCAGAGAAGAATCAAGCACCTCTTATTTTTAGTACTCATAGTAACTCTATAATAAACAGATCTTACTTCCTGTATTGTTAACTTGTCTGAGGCCTTGTTTTAACCTTAAGAGTTTTCACTGTATTTTTTTCAAGGCAAAAGTATTGTTCGTTTCCTCTGACTCCTGATTTCTGTCCCCAACTGTCTCCGTGATTGCCTTGCAGAGCGTGGAGGAGCGTGAATGCGATGATGATGATGGAGCATCTCAGGAAGACGAGGGGTTCATGGGCATGTCCCCCCTTCTGCAAGCCCACCATGCCATGGAGAGGATGGAAGAGTTTGTTTGTAAGGTAAGGTGGCTGTTCCTGGTCATTTCCATGCTGTATGTTTAGTCCTTCCCAAACAGAAGTCTGCGAGTTAGGAGAGCGGGGGTGCCGTCCCTCTGGGGCGAGTGTGTGTCCCAGTGGGTGGGAGCAGCGTCAGGACATGAGCCCGTTCAGTGCACCAGTCCTTGTGTGCCTGCAGCAGCCCTGATAAAGGTTTGGGAAAACTAGATCATCTGGCCGGGAAACCGGCTCACAGAGTAGACGTCTTGTTGACCAGTTAGACAGACAGAAGGAGACAAAACTGGGGGTGCTCGATGCCTGAGACTCCGAGTCTGCTCTGCAGCATGCCGCTCCTCTCCGGGTCCAGCAGGTGATGGACTCCTCCTCAGGTGGGACTTGCCTAGTCTTCACACGCATCCAGTGTTGCCAGTGTGGCTGCTGTGTACTTCTGAGTCATTAGCATCCCCGTGGGCCTCCGTTCCCCTAAAATGGCATCTGGAATTGGGGTTGCTTGTTTCGAAAACACGATCAGGGATACTGGTATGTATGGGTTTAGCCACTTGATCCATCTGATCCTGGCAGGTGTGACATCAGGTCAACACAGTTCAACCTGTGTGTGTAAATTTATTATTAAATGTTTTTGAAGAACTCTTGATCATTTAGAGAAAAATTTTTCTGACACTGATTTTTCATGAGTTTTGTGAAACCAAGACTTTTTATGTATATAGTCTTAGATCCTAAAAACTAAATTTAGGTTTTTCTACATTTACAATGATGCTAGAAATAATTGGGGCCAGTTGATTTAGAGTCCGGTACTTTGGACCAGAGCTGAGAAGAAAACATTGTAATCTGAATATAGACATCTCTTTCAAGACCAGAGGGATTTCGGGGAGAGGGTGGCAAAGTCTAAACACTTATGGATCTACTTTTAGAGCCCAGAAAATTTTAATCAGTGTTTGAAAACTGGTGAAGAAAAAGCCGGTCAAAACATTCAACCCATTCTAGTAATCCCTCCCAGTAGAGTTAGAGCAAAGGGATACAAAAGGTGCGTTTTGGTCCTCAGTCTCAGTTGAGCACCCAGTGTCAGCCACTGGGGGTTTACATTTACGGATCAGTGGGGGCTGCGGGCGGCTTGACTTTTTGTTCTCCCTTCTGAACCTAGAGAGTAAGGCAAGTAAAACTTGCAGTTTTAAGAGCTAACAGGTGGTGAATAAATAGGACACTTGTTTGCTATAGACTATGATTTACTGAAGGAAAAGGAGTGGGCCATAAAACTATTAGGAGCCCCTGTTACCCGCTAGAGTGTGTCTGTGCGGAGGGGCAGGCTTCCTGAGCCACCCCGCCCTCCGCGGCCGAGCTCCTGACTGCCCTTGATAGGCCTGCCTGCCTGTGTGGTGACGCCGGGTTCTGTTTCTTGGAAGCAAGTAAACAGACAGTTGAGAATGCGGTGTCCTGCCCTCTCGCCTCTGTGCTTTGCCTTGTGGAGAAGGCTCTCCTGCAGGAATAGGGGGGTAAATAAAGTCGTCGAGGCTTTAGAGAGTGTTTGTGTTTGGCATCTCTTTTATTCCAGCCTTCAGTCGTTGCTAGTCTACCAGCACGTGGGGTAGTCTGGCCCATGTGGACATAGAGGTCTTCTGTGGGTCATTTTCTTTTTTTTAAATATGTTTTGTGTATCATATGGTCTAATACTGAGTTAGTGAGCCATTGCTAAGATGTTTGATTTAGGCATTGCCCTTTTCAAGCTTATAAACAAAGGTGTCTTTGACTAAGCTATGACCTTGTTCTTCCTGCCTGGAGTTGAGGGGGGAGAATACCTGTTTGGGTCGGCATTTGGCTGCCCTGCAAGTTGAGTGGTGGGTGCAGTGTAATGATGGAGGCACAGCACCTGGGCCCCAGTCTTCAGAAGCCAGAGTGTGTGTTTAGAAACTTCAGGAAAAGTTGCTCTGACACTGTGTACCGGTGTCACTGGTAAGACCTAGTAACTGCTCGTGTGATAACATAGTAGCTCTTCTTATATGATCACAGCAGAGCTGTTCGCAGGCTGTGAACTGCCTGGAGGGAGGCGAAGATTGGTTTCCATCTCAGAAAATAAAGTTCTCCCCAAGTGAAGCTGAGTAGCAGCACCTGGTGACAGATGAGCTTATTTTGTTGCACGTTAGGAACCGGCAGGGGGAAGGCGGGTGAGCACAGGCCCGGTGTCGGGAGGAGGGTGGAGACGGAGCTTCAGTGCCATTGCGAGGGGGTCCCTGCTGTTCTTTGGTTTCTCGTCCCACCCCAGTGGAGTGCAGGGAGGGGAGGGCTGGGGTGGGTATGGTGGCCGGCAGGTGGGGCCCAATGGGGGAGCCTTTGGTGGACGTTCTCCTACCTCCTTGGCGTCTGTTTGGCTCAGCAGGGGCAGGATAGTTTAGGTGGAAGTGATCTTACAGTGTGAGCTCACTGGGCTGAGAGACATGAAAAGAGCGGAGTACTGAGGCTGACGTGTTTTTTAGGAGGGGCTCCCCCACCCCCCATCCCTTCCCTTTAGAGCCTGACTGGGGAATGACATCGAGGAAGAGGAAGGGCGGGAGGCTGTGCTCCTTTGCCGGCTCCCCAGGCACAAGCTCTCGGGTGGTCCGCCTGTGGGGACAGCAGGATTGCACACCACCTTTGGGGTGGGGGTGCCATGGGTCATTTCTGTGGATCCTCGTCAGTTCCCACACTCTTGTCATTTTATAAACAAGGAAACTGAGGCTTGAGGATTTTTGTAGTTAATGAAAGCTCCTTCAACTGGGTAATGGCAGAGAGCCAAGATTTTCTGACGCCTTTGCTCCTTCTTTCAGCTTCATTATATTTGTTGTGATTAGACGAGAAACCAGAGAGGGAGGCAATTTTAACAAAAGGCACCTAAGTGTGAGTCTATGTTTTTCCCCACTAACAGAAATATTAAGTATAAAAATGGTCTTACCTAATTCAACAGGGATTTTTCCTGGTATATATTAGGGGCTTCCCTGGTAGTTCAGTTGTTAAAGAATCCACCTGCAATGCAGGAGACCCCAGTTCGATTCCTGGGTTGCGAAGATTTGCTGAAGAAGGGATAGGCTACCCACTCCAGTATTCTTGGGCTCCCCTGGTGGCTCAGCTTGTAAAGAGTCTGTCTGCAATGCGGGAGACCTGGGTTGGATCCCTGGGTCAGGAAGATTCCCTGGAGAGGGGAAAGGCTACCCACTACAGTATTCTGGCCTGGAGAATTCCATGGACTGTACAGTCCATGGGGTCACAAAGAATCAGACACGACTGAGTGACTTCATGGAGAAGGGAATGGAAACCCACTCCAGTGTTTGTGCCTGGAGAATTCCATGGACAGAGCAGCCTGGTGGAGTACAGTCCATTGGGTTGCAAAGAATTGGACACTACTGAGCGATTAACACGAAGTCTGTAGTGAAGGATGAAGGAGGGGCATCTGTACGGGCGGGACTTCAGCCCCTCATCTTGCCTTGGCCAGACCGAAACACAGCTGGAAAGCACTTTTTTTGCTTCTTGGCCATGTCTCGTGGCTTGCCCATGTCAGTTCCTCGACTCGGGACTGAACCCAGGCCCTCAGCAGTGAAAGCACAGAATCCTAACCATTAGGCCACCAGGGAAGTCGCCTGGGTATTTTCTGTGACTTCATTTGCTCTTTCCTTTTCCTTAGAAAAGCTCCCCTACCCCAATAAAAGAAATGTGTTTTTTCCTCAGTTTTTTCAGAATATAGGACATTATGCCTTTGAATGCATTTGTCTTTCTAAAGATAGTTTACTTATCTCATTGTAAGGCAGTGCAGTAAGAGATAGCTGTCAGTGTTGCTGAATCAACAGTTAAACCCGCAGAGGTATTTGCTGATACTCTTCCAGGTCTGGGAAGGTCGATGGCGAGTGATCCCTCACGACGTGCTGCCTGAGTGGCTCAAGGATAACGACTTCCTCCTGCATGGACACCGGCCCCCAATGCCTTCTTTCCGGGCCTGTTTTAAGAGCATTTTCAGAATACACACCGAGACAGGCAACATCTGGACACATCTGCTGGGTATGTTGAGTAGTAATGGTTAATGTGATCATTCTGTTCCTCCCCCCACCGCTGTATTTAAGGGTAAGGACAGAACTTAAAAAGTGTGTTTTGAATTTGCTGTTTTTGTTTGCTGGATTTCTAGTGATGCAGTTCCTCTGTGGTTGTCTCTGGTTGTCCCAGTTTACACTAGGTTTTCAGACATGTCCTTAAACCAGGCCAAGGAAAAGGCACTATGCAGAATTGGCTGTAATATTTTAACGAGCATGAAGAGGAAAGTAGTTATTTCACAGTAAGTTGATTTTTAAAAGTCATTACGAATGGCCAGTGAACACATGAGAAAGGTGCTTAATGACATTGTGAGTCATTTGAGGAAGCGCAGTGAGATACCACTTCACACTCACAGGAGTGGCTGTTACCAAGAAAATAGAAAGTGACAAGTCTTTGCCTGGATATGGAAAGATTAGAACTCTGGTCATTGCTGGTGAAATGGAAAATGGCGTAATCTGTTTGGAAAACGTTTTAACAGTTCCTCAGAAAATTAAACGGAGTTACCAGCAATTCTAGGTATATACCCAAGAGTATTGAAGACATATTCCCACAAAGGTGTGTACATGAATGTTTTAGCAGCTTTATTCATCATAAGGGGAAAGTGGGAACACCCAAGTATCTATCACCTGACCTATAAATAAAGTGTAGTGTATGGATACAGTGGAGTATTATACAGCCTTAAAAGGGCTGGACTGCTGAGAATGAGCTACAGCACGGGCTAGCCATGAAAACCTTGTGTGAAGTGAAAGGAGCCGGACACAAAGGCCGGGTACTGTATGATCCATATACACGAAGTACCCCAAATGGGGAAATCCATAGAGCTAGAAAGTCCAGTAGGTCAGTGCTTGTTAGGGTTGTTGGAGGGGGGGTAGGGTGTCGGTGATGGGAGATGGCTGAGCAGGTGTGGGACTTCTTTTTGGGGCAGTGAAAATGTTCTGCAATGAATAGTGATGATCGCACAACCTGGTGAATGTATTGAGTAGTCTGGCCTTTCCCTGTTTGATGTACATATCTTACCACACGTTTGATTTCCTCTGTGCCTCCAAGTTTTCCAGAATCAGAGAGTAGATCAGAGTAGAGAATCAGATCGAGTTTGTTGCTGACTTCTGACTTTCCTAAATGATCACGCAGAATCACTTAGCAAATGTTTTAACTTCTTAATTTCTGTGTTTGTCTTGTGTTAAGTAGCCTTTGCCCAAGCAATAAGAATGTGGTATCTTACTGTGAAGAACAGTTTAAAAACTGGTTTAAAATTGCCCAAATGGCATTTCACTGTCCCTAACTCCTGACTGTGGGCCAGCTGGTGAGGACCAGAGCCGCAGGTGTTTCCGTAGAGCAGTTGGTGGAGACGAGCTGTATTTCCTAGCAGAGTTTGGAGGGGTCAGCATTCATTGCAAAAGAAACTGCCAAGTGGGCCTTTGAAAGCTGGCTGTGGCACATGTGCCAAAAACATTATAAATGGGATTTCTTGGGGATCTAGCGGTAACGATGGGCTTAGTTAGCAGGCCTTGTCTGTTTTCTTTTTGGATTAATCACAAGTTTCCCTGTTATACTGAGCTTGTGAAGCTGAGGGGTGTGTGGTACCAACAGTGTCTGGAGCAGACCAGCGTTTTGGATAAGGTTTAGTTGTTTGGAAGAATTTTGATTCAGATGTCAGGACTGAAAACTTAATCAATACATAACACTCTCTTCAGAAGGTAGTAACCCTGGCTTTCTTCCATCCTCTTCTCTAGGTTGTGTGTTCTTCTTGTGCCTGGGGATCTTTTATATGTTTCGCCCCAACATCTCCTTTGTGGCCCCCCTGCAGGAGAAGGTGGTCTTTGGATTATTCTTCCTGGGGGCCATTCTCTGCCTTTCTTTCTCATGGCTGTTCCACACAGTCTACTGCCACTCAGAAGGGGTCTCCCGGATCTTCTCTAAGTAAGTATCTGCAGAGTCCCTGTTTGGATCGGTGATCCCAAGCCCGTGGGCTCAGGGAGAGCATCCAGCAGAGTTGGCAGAACCCTTGATACTGCCTGCCAGGCACTCTTGACTGGAACCTGTAGGGGGCAGTGATGTTCAGCAGTAAATGGATTTTTTTTCCTATCCTAGACTGGATTACTCTGGTATTGCTCTTCTGATTATGGGAAGTTTTGTTCCTTGGCTTTATTACTCCTTCTACTGTAACCCGCAACCTTGCTTCGTCTACTTGATTGTTATCTGTGTTCTGGGCATCGCAGCCATCATCGTCTCCCAGTGGGACATGTTCGCCACCCCCCAGTACCGGGGCGTGAGAGCAGGTAAGAAGCCCAGACCGGGTTCCGTGCTGCCAGTCTGCACGAGAGGGCCGCTGCTGGCCACGCGTCAGGCTAGGTACTTGTGATGCAGAGATGGCGAAGCCACAGTTCCTGTTCTTGAGGGGCTTGTAATGTTGGGGGTGTCCCTGCTCGTCTCACAGCATCAGTGGGGGCGGGTGCTGAGCTGATGCATCTGGTAGTACAGTTTACGTGTGGTCCTTCCAGCTGTGGCACCATAACTTTTGTGAAATGATGGTTCCTTTCTATGTATTTTCATTTTAAAATGTGTAAAAAAAAGAGTCTTTACTCCCAAACTGATGGTGTTATAGAGATAGCACACACCTTCTCTGGTACAGGATGAAGAGGGTTTTATGTTCAGGATCATGCCTATTTGGTTGGAAACCAACCAAAAGCCCCTTCCTTCTGGTGTGCGGGCCTGCACTGGGACCGGACCCCGTGGGAGCCAGGGCTGTGTCCTCAGTGTTTGCCACTAGTACCACACCCAGTGCCTGCTGAGAGTGAGCAGGAAGTGCTAAAAGGAGTACTCTTCCTTTCAGTCTTTTTGCTTTAGGCCATTTTGTATTAAAGCCCAAGCCACAGTTAATCTGCAGTTCCTGTCCATGTGGTGCTTGGTTGAGGCACACACTTCACAGTGGCTTTAGAGCCCAGTTACCTTTAGGCTGTTGCTGATTGTGACCTTTTCTTTTACAACCCTAGACACGTGTTAATAATACATAAGTAACATAAATTACAAAACTTGGACAAAATGGTACTTAACCTTCAACTTGACACAGTCTGATACGTTTTATCTCAGTTTATTAAAAAAAAAAAAATGGTGATCCAGACTCAGCTTAGTCTTATAACCTGGGGCATGTCCAGAACTTTGCAAATCACTGCTGTAAAGGGTTCAAAGACAGTCTGGCTGTGGGGGGGCCATGCTGGTGGACTTGGGTGTCTGACTGGTGCCCTGAGACCCCTCCCTCTCTGATCGCCTGCCCCACCTCACTCTCACCTGGCGGTCTCTGTTGTCTCAAGGGAGGATAAACTATGCAGAACTGCTCTGTACTGTAATCTGCGTCTTATAAAGAAGCGCATATAGGGTGTTGTAAGCCAGCTACTCAAATTGTTGGTTCCTGAGGCATTCATCAACACATCACTCCAAGCCCCTTGAAGACTGCTGATTTGTGGAGCTAAGGCTTTTTCAGCAGGAGGTTCTTTGCCTTTGTAAATAGATCTCTTTTTAGAATGTAGCCGTGCTGAATTGCATGGCAGAATCCCAGAGTTTGAAGAACCTTCTTTTTCCTTTCAAACCAGAAGCTAATGTTGCATCTTGCTTTTGAGATACTCAGTTTACAGAGTCACTGGTATTGTGCCAAGTTGTTCCTCCTCTTTTCTCCTTGTCTCCATTGTGTCCTTGTGATTCCCAGGAGTGTTTCTGGGCCTCGGCTTGAGTGGGATCATCCCCGCCTTGCACTACGTCATCTCGGAGGGCTTCCTAAAGGCCGCCACCATCGGGCAGATTGGCTGGCTGTTGCTCATGGCCGGCCTGTACATCACGGGGGCGGCCCTGTACGCCGCCCGCATCCCCGAGCGCTTCTTCCCCGGCAAGTGTGACATCTGGGTAAGTGTGGTCGGTGGCTGGGGGTGGGCAGGGTTCACTGTCTTATCTGTCCATCTGTGAGTTAGTTACTGGCACCCAGGGAAGTGAAATGATTGAGGAAGTACCCTTGCCCCAGCTTCCTTCTGAGCTGTGTCAGCGTGGTGAGTGCGGGACTGAGGGCGTGCCCTGCAGGGACGGCCCTGCCATGAGACCCGCCGCCCCATGATGAGCCGCAGCCGCTGTCAGGGCCTTCTCGGGACCGGCCCGGGAGCTTGGGTGCTCCTTACTCAGCGCCCTGCCCTTCAGGTGTGGAGTCATTGTCCCCCTGGCCCCGTGCTGGGCGGCAGGTTTTCAGGCTGCCTCCATCTGGTCTCCTCGTGTGTGGGAGGAGGGGGACAGACTAGGGTTTTACCCGGCTCCTTTTCAGTACCAGCATTCAGCGATTAGCAACAAGAGACTGATCTGTGTGTGTGGTTGGAAGGGAGGTGGGATAACCAGATGGTGATTAAAGGTAAACCAAGGGGAGGAAAGGGTGCGGGGGGGGAGAAAATGCAGGGCACCAGTGGACAGCCTGGTACTGGTCCACACACTGGTACCGGTCCGTGGCCTGTTAGGAATGAAGACTGCACTGCAGGAGGTGAGTGGTGGGAGCATTCGAAGCTTCACCTGTATTCACAGCTGCCCCCCGTCACCCTCATTATTGCCTAAGCCCTGCCTTCTGTCAGGTCAGCGGCCCCTTCAGAGTCTCACAGCAGCGAGCACCCTGGCCCTCAAATTAAGGTGGTATCCTGAGATTGCCACAGAAGAGGAATACGTGCACAATAAAGGCAGTCCCCCGGCGTCAGGGGTGCACTGCGTCCCGAGCTTGGGGCTGCAGCTCTATTTCTGTGGGGACAGCTGGCCTTCACCTCAGCAGAATGTGATACGCCTGCTGGGTTCTCTGAGATCAGGGATGCCTCGAATTTGAGCCACTGCACCCACCCCTGCCCCGGCTCTGCACAGATAGTCTTAAGGGTCTTCTGCCGACTTAGTGATGACTCGCCCTCCCCGCTTCTGCCTCCAGTTTCACTCTCATCAGCTCTTTCACATCTTCGTGGTGGCTGGCGCGTTCGTCCATTTCCATGGGGTCTCGAACCTCCAGGAGTTCCGTTTCATGGTCGGCGGAGGCTGCAGCGAAGAGGACGCACTGTGACAGCGGCCAGGGGCCGGGGACGGTGACCCCCACTGGCCGTGACGCCAGCGCCAGAGCAGCCCCACAGCGCGGGGCTTCGTGATGCCCCAGGGCTCCACGTGGTCCGCAACTGGGAAGAGAAAACAAAAATAAATCACACCTCACAGGTGGAGAAGAGGCGAGATGGCCCAGCCCTGCCTCGTTCTTGGGTCTGGCCGACGGAGGGCACTCGAGCCCCGGGCACGCTGGCCTCCGTGCTTGTAGCCGGTGGGGCCGTCAGCTGGAGGCGCCGCCTCCTCCCTCCTCTCTCCTTAGAAATGGTGACACCGACCAGTGTTGGCGAACGTTTATTATGTCCTCAGAGGGGTGGCAGTGTGATTTTAGATGCCCTTTTGGGAGAACAAAGAAATTAATGTAAATAAGATTTCTAACTTACTGTTTAAATAAAAATTTATATAAATGTTTAAACCACAGGGCTAGGGGAGGGAGGGAGGCTTTTGTATAGAACGAAACACGCGAGAGCCACACGCTGTTCCAATTTTGCACACGTGACCGCCGGAGGATCAGGCAACAGCCCCAGAATGTATGATGCCCGGCGCCCCGGGTGCCTTCTGCCGTCGGGGACACCTCGGGCCCCGGGGCGGCAGCGTCCTGCCCAGCGACCCTGGAGAGCCCGAGGCGGGGGCGGCGTGTTTGTTGGGGGAAGTGGGGTGTGTGAGATCGAGGCAGTAGTGACTGTGTCAGAGTTTGAGTGACTTGTTTCTGCCACCTACCCAGAAACGTCACCGAGGCTGGCGGGGATTGGGGGAGCACCCACAGGGCTTCCTGCATCCTTTTCAATGTGGTGGAGACTCAGCTGGTTGCAGGGGTGGGGATGGGGTGTCTGCAGTGGAGCTCTGGACCACTCTGTATGAGTCCCTCCAGGAGAATCACTGCCTTACCTCCCCCTCACCTCCCCCGCCCCCAGGAGTAGAGACCACCTTCCCTGGCACCACAGCTCCTGGCCTGAGGCTAGCCGCACAGGGGCCCAGGGCCCGCCAGCTGTGGTGGGAGTCTCCCTGTGGTGCTGTCCTGGCGCCTGGGGGCTGGGCACATGAACACCAACCTGACCCCCCTTCACTCCCGCCACCCCGGTCAGGTCTCCAGGAACAGGGAAGCCAGCAGCACGCCTCTGAGGCCAGAGCCCATTACCCACCAGTGCTGGGGTGACCGGCACCCCCAGAACCCAGTTTTCTAGGGGTGGTGTGGTAGGAAGGTTTAGAAGGAAGTGATACATTACTGCCAGGAAGTCTGGTTGGCTTCTTGAAGCTGTGTCTTTGAGGAGCTGCTCAAATAAGGCTGCTTGAGCCGCTGAGGTGTCCTGCGGGGGTGTCAGAGTCCAGTGTAGAGGGTCTGGCTCCTAGGAGGCCTGCACCTGCCCACGTAGCCCCGAGTCCATTTTTTACTCTAAGCAAAGGCTTCAGGTGATTGAATCGCACCCAGGATGGCAGGCGTCAAACGTGAACAAGGTCCCAAGCCGGGCTGGCCACCTCCCACCAGTGTTGGGAACATGGGGAGGTCTCCCATTTATTCAGTGTGGGTTTTTTTCTTGGTTAGGTGTCTCCTTTTCCCCGCGTCTCCAGCAAAACCTGGGAACCGGGAAGCAAGCATCCTTGTAGAGCTCGGGAGTGTTCTGGTCCTGAGTGAGGGCACTGCCTCCGGTGCCAGGTGCACTGGTGCCGTGTGGACGGTGGCAGAACAGTATTACCCCTCTGGGAACACGGCCCACAGTCCGTCGTCCGTCCCCCGCCCACCCGCCCCAGGAGAGTCTCCCTGGGCTTCAGGATGTACCCCAGAAGCCAGCCTTGCGTCCGGTCACCTGCCTGGGGAAGCGGTGTGTTGTGTGTGGCCCCTGCGACACCACCAGCAGTCCGGGGCCCAGCTGCCCCCCTCCACACTCCCCAAAGAGGAGCTGCACCTGGCTCAACATAGCACAACCCCTTAGAAAGTGACGTGATCACCAACCAGACATCCCCCACCCTGTGACGGCCCCTCCCTGGGAAGCGGGTGGGCACCCACCTCCGTGTGTCCTCGAAGCCCCGGCCGCCTCACGCACGCCTCCGCCTGCTGGGAACCCCACAGGTCGGCGCCTGGATGCCTTACTCTCAGCAGTCAGAGGCTCGCTTGCTCCGTGCAGCAGATGTTCATTTTCTCTTCAGGCCCTTGGCCATTTCGGACCTCTGCAGCTTCATCCTCTCACCCATTGAAGAGTGGCCTTCTCAGTATTTCCCCCTTCCCGTTTATAAATTGTCAAAGCCACAAAGCACATTTTTGGGGATCATAGAGGGCTGGGATTTCAGAAGGGCATTTGTGCGATGGCCCCATTCACCATGGGATGTCCCTCCTTGCTGTATTCTCAAACTTCTAATAAAAAAAAAACCAAGTGGAATATGAATGTGGTTTTTTTGTGCCTTTTTTTTTTTTTAAAAGAAAAAACTGCCTCAGCTTCCCTCTCCATAGCTTTTGGTACTTCTTAGCTTGAAGCCTTCATTTAGATACTGAAGCTTAAATTTCTGGAAACATCCCACTCTGAGTGCTGGAGACCATTCTGAAAAAGCTCTCCATGGACTGACTGTTCAACAAGTTAAACTCTTGTGAAATTATTAACATTCAGGATTCTTTGGCCACAAAGGTATTTTCTATACTGAACAGAATATCTCAGGACACTTAGGGGTTCGTTAGTCATTGGGCTACCAATTTTTTGAAAATCATGTTGTATACTGTCATTTTCAGTGTAGTGTTGAGAGTCTGTGAAAGTTGAATATGTTCTCTGGCAGTTTTAGTTAGATAATCTTGTAATTTGTATATTTCACATTTCCATTTAATGTTCCTAACGTGTTAATGATGGCAGGCAGGATGATGATGAGTTAATAAAGAGGGTGCAGTATAAAAACCAGTGCTCATGCCCAACCCAAGCCTTCCCGGCCTTCCTTACACTTTCATCATAACTGGAGTCCCAGGCACAGAACAGAGGGGAGAGCCAGCTCCAAGGGGCAGTTACGAATTTATCATTAGAGGTACAAAAATAATACCTGAAGAACGCATCATGCAAGGGGATGTGTTAAAGCACTTGACGTGTCACGTAATTGTAACCAGCACCCAATGAACATATCTGTTGTTTCACTCCTGTTTTGTGGGTGAGATCAGAAGAGGTAAAACTGACTTGTGACACAGTCTACACTAAGACGAAAATTCAGATTGAATGGTCTCTATGTAGGGACTTCCCTGGTGGTCGTGGTTAGGACTTTGGGCTTCCACTGCAGAGTTTGCAGGTTTCATCCCTGGTTGGGGAACTGAGATCCCCTTGCTGCATGGCACGGCCAAAAATAAAAAGCCTCATGTATTTTGACTGAAAGGTTTTGGGGGTTAACCTTTCTATGTAATTTAAGAGAAGAGAGGAGGTCCCAGCCCTTTTTGCCTTGGGTATATTTAGTTTTTTTCAGGGGAATTTCCAGCTTTTGGATGAATTCTCATTTTAAGTGTAGGAATAGGTTTTTTGCATAGGGAACCTGGAGGGTGGGACACTGGGTTGTGTCCTGTTTTTTTTTTTCATGTGGGCCATTTAAAAAGTCTATTGAGTTTGTCACAGCATTGCTTCTCTTTTATGTTTTGATTTTTTTGGATGCAAGGCATGTGGCATCTTAGTCCCCAGCTGGGGATTGAATCTGCATTGGAAGGCCAGGTCTTAACTGCCAAGGAAGCCCCTCCCGTCCTGCTCCGGATGACCGTCCTCGAGGCCTACAGATAGCCCTTGGCTTTCCCAAGTCCTTCGCTGAGCTGTCTGTAGGCACCCCTTTCATGGTGATACCTGTGGTGCGGGAAAGGAAGTGGATAAGGACGCATGTGAATCCTGGCCTGACAGTTGCTAGGGCTCTGCGGCCTGGAGACGCCTGCAGGCACCGTTGTACCCAGGAATAACCCCTGATCTCCGAGTGTTCTGCTCGGTTGGAGCTCAAGCGCTGACCCCACGCCCTGTGTCCTGCTGGACGGGTTTTCCTGCCTCCAGCCCCGTGACTTGTGGCAAACTGGTCTAGTGTGACTCTGCCTTTGGTGGTGATGGCGGGAGTCTAGCCGGGCTGGGAGAATGGCCTGTCACCGCCACCCCTGCCACCCTGGCCTGGGGACAGCACCCAGGCCTGCCAAGACAGCTGCTTCCTCCTCTGTGAACTCGTCCCCGCCCCACCCCGCCCCAAGTCAGCATCCCTCACTTGAGCCGCAGGGATGGGCTGGCGTCTGGGCCAAGCTCTTGCCCTCATTCTTCCCCAAGTTTGTGTCTTTGACTTGGAGATGTCCGCTCCCTTGCCCTCTGGAACGAACACCCCCTTGACGTTGTGGAGCGGTGCTCAGGCCTTTTTGCCTCAGCAGTGCTTGCATTAAAACACGCTCAGAGGTGGCTTAGGAGCTGGCACCCCCCTGCCCTGAGGACAGAGCTGGCAGCCCTGGCACCCTCGTGCATCCACAGGTTCTTTAGGAAAAGGGACTTCAGGACTCTCTCCCCCTGAATCTTCTCATCTGTTCAGTGACTTTGGTTTTAACTTTGTTGGTCTGAGCTTCCCTGGTGGCTCTGATGGTAAAACGTCTGCCTGCAATGTGGGAGACCTGGGTTCAATCCCAGGGTTGGGAAGATCCCCCGGAGAAGGAAATGGCAGCCCACTCCGGTATTCTTGCCTGGCAAATGCCACGGACTGAGGATCCTGGTAGGCTACAGTCCATGGGGTTGCAAAGAGTCGGACATGAGTGAGCAACTTCACTTGTTGGTCTGAAACCAAGGTGATGGCTCTTTAGCGTGAGCTAGGCTGCCACCTGCTGTCCTCTGGGCCGTGGTGGTGGTGGTGGGGGTGGCGGAGGGTTGGAACTACCAAAATAGGAAAGGGCAAGAACAGCTCTGACCTCCGAAGGCAGGGCTTATGTTCTCTTCTCCCAGGTGAAGGGCAGTTTTATTGTATCAGTGGCTTTTGCTTCCGTTGATTCTGACGGAGTCCTGGCCCCATAGCCCCCTCCTGGCCACACAGAGACAGGGCTGAGGCTGGGAGCTGCCCCAGTACTTCTTAAGTGTGGTTTTTAAATTGTGTGGCCAACAGCATTGATAAATTGCCTGAAAAGACTCTTCCCGGTTGTGGCAGGAGTGGGCGGGTGGGGGGCGGGGCAGGATGCCGTCCCGGAGAGAGGTTAGGGTCTGAACACACACCGATGCCCCCAAAGGGCCTGGTGAGGGAGGGGCTGTCACCTCGAGGGCTCTGTGACATGAAGGTGGGGAGTCGAGCTGAGGGGGTGGTAGACAGGCCCCCTGCTGCCTCCTCACCCACCTGTACCTGGCAGGCACCTGTGACCTTGCCTGTTATTCCAATGTCCTTTCTCCCTCCCCTCCACCAGGAAAGCAGGTGCTTCAGAGGACAGCAGGTGACATGCTGTGGGTGCCGACTGTAGGCCATGTGGTTTCAGGTTCAGGATACGGACACCACGTGCATGCCTCACACATCACGTTCACCTCTTCCAGGGAGGCCGGCTGAACGTAGAGATCGGAGGCCACCCCAGGGTTTCTGCGCGGTTCTGCCTTCAGCGTCGCTCCCACAGTGGGGACTGCAGTCTCTGGGGAACCAGGTCTGCATGGGAGGAAGCCGGCCCCGAGATCCCTGGGTGGAGGGACGTGCCCAGATGCATCCGTCTCCCCCACTGGACTCCGGTTTGCAAATGGGAATGCTCCCCAAAGCTCCAGCTCCAAGGTCAGAGTCAGGTGGTCTCTCTTGTAGATCAGCAGCCAAAAAAAGACCAGCCTGGGTCCTTGGGCCTCCAGGGGGTCTGGAACCTTCAGGACTCCCCTGACTATGCCTCTCTGAAGACCAGTCTTTTGCTAGGACCCCTCTGGCTGCAACTGGTCCTGCCCCCTGCCCTGGACTCACATCCTTCTCCAGTGCAGCAGCTGTATCGCTAACCTACTAGCTTTTTCTTAGAAAGAGGCAAATGGTAAGTCAGGGCTTTGCAAAGACATCTATAGAAATTTTTTTAATAGCAATAGTTTGTGGGCATCACACGCAGCCATGTTCATGTAAAGGACCTGCCTTCTCTCTCTCTCTCTCTCTCACACACACACGCACACACACACACACATGCACACACACACAAACCTTTTTTGAGCTTCAACTGTGAGACTGAGCTGCCTCGCTGTACACCTCACCCTGGGGCAGCTACATCTCCAGTGGGGAGCGTTCCTGCCCTCTTCCCCTCTCTGCCCTCAGCCTCATTCCTCTCCTCCTTCTCAGGACATTTAAGTCCTTGGATTCTACTGAAGACCAGCCAGGCTCATTAGAAAGAGCTGCCCCTGTCTCTGGCTGGGTCTGGATTTCTGGGGGAATAGATGGAACTAAAGCTCTCTGGTCTTGGTCCAGGTTGAGCTCATGCTGGACTCCCCAGGAGGAGGTGGGGGGAACTGCCCACTGAGATGCGGGCTGGAGGGTACCCAGCACCCTAGAAGGTCTTCAGGACGGGTTTCTGACTCCTCCAGCAATCTCAGGAGGCCCACGACTGTGATGAGCATGGTCTTGGGCAAGAGAACCCAGCTGTAGAGTGCCAGACGGTGGCACGGTGGACTGCTGACTCTTCCCAGCGTCAAAGCAGGCCCAACGGGGCGCGGTCACCGCAGCAGCTGGGACGGCAGCACCCATGCCCACAGAGGCAGCAGGAGCAGGGGTAGCGAGGCCGAGGTGTCTGAGGCACCTCCGCAGTCCTGGGCGTTCTCCTGCGGACCCAGAGCGCTCCCGGTGAGGCACCCGTCCAGGCAGAGGCGACCGGGAGACTGGGAATCGGGTGGGAGGTTCTGGGACTAAGAGGGACCGAGGGCTGAGGGAGAGGGGAGTACCAGCAAGTGGAGGGAGTCCCCTTTCTTAGACAACCCCCCGACTTCTAGGGGAAGGCAGATGGAAGGACTGTGGAGTCATCCTCTTAGAGTGACTGCAGAGAAGCCTGGCACTCTGGGAGCATCCTGGCTGTGGAGGCAGCGTGTCCAGCAAGGACGACTCAGTACAAAGAGCCCAACTATGGTGTTCAGGGCTGGTCACCATGCTGTTATGTGTCTAACCATTTCCTCCTGCCCGCCTGGACCCTGTGGATCCAAGTGCAGTGGGGGTGATGTGGAGAAGCTGTGTTTATCAAGGGCCTGGCCCCTGGGAGACCAGCTCTCATCACAAAAACACTGCCGGGTCCCTCCCTGCGTGAATGCACCCGGTGGCGGTTCCAGGAGGTGCTCTCACAGCTGCACACTGTGTCCAGCGCTCTCATGTCTGAAGGGCACAGGCCAAAGGTTTGGGGATGAAGACACCCCCCCCCCAAGCCCCTACCTCTGTCTGAAGGGCACAGGCCAAAGGTTTGGGGATGAAAACCGCCCCCCCCAACCCCCCACCTCTGGATGGAAGGCGTGGCAGGTGTCCGGGCGCCGGCGGAGCTTCTGGGAACGCATCCTGTTGCACTTGACGGAGGCGTTATGTGCAGAGGTCACTGTTAAGGTGAACACAGCTGAGGCGGAGCTGCCGCTGGAGCCTGTGCGTGACAGTCGTTCAGTCGTGTCCGACTCTGCGACCCCATGGACTGTAGCCCGCCAGGCTCCTCCGTCCATAGGATTCTCCAGGCAAGAGTACTGGAGTGGGTTGCCTTTCCCTTCTCCAGGGGATCTTCCCGACCCAGGGATCACACTCAGGTCTGCCGCATTGCAGGTGGATTCTTTACTGTCAGAGCCACCCAGGAATCTCTGGGGACTCAGTTCTGGAACCTCTGGTGGGACTGGCTGCCTCACTGCCTTCCGGGGTCAGAGGTCAGCCCTTAGAGCCGTGGGAAAGGCAGGGTGTTGGTGGTGAGGGTGGCTGGCCCCACCTCTCTAGATCTGAGCACCTCAGTGATGACCCGCCTCCCCGCTCCCCCGTCCGCCCCTCCACCCCGCCCCCCACCCCCAGACTGGAGCCCCAGAGGATATATTTGACTTCCTCTGCCTCCCGCAGCACTGGCGGGAAGATGCTGCAGTCACAGTTGCGGTCGGTCACCAGGAGCAGGAGGTTGCTGCTGGGGACCTGCTGCATCACAAACGACCTGCGGACACGAGAGCGGTTGGCCCGTGGAGGCTCTGAGCAGCTGGACACTGGGCTTCAGGGAGGCTCTTCTGGAGACAGCACGAAGGCTTGGGGGCCCAGGTCAGCCCCCTGGGCTGGGAGGTGGGAGGCAACCTGGTTTACATCTCCCACAAGCCTTTGCAGCTGCCACGCTCCTTTCCTAGCAGATTGGAGGGAAGGAAGCCCAGACATCTAGGGGGATAGGAGTCGCTCTTGACATCTTCGGGGAACACAGGCCTAAGTCAAGACCTTGTCAAGTAAACAGGCCCGTGTGGAGGGGCCCCATCGGTGATACAGTGCTCAGGCTTGGCCACAAGGTGGCGCCCCAGGCCCGCACGCTGCCCGATTGGGAGCCGGGTGGGTGCAAGCAGGTTGTTGTCAGTGGCTCAGCCGGTGTGTTGGCCACAGACACTGCCCGTAGGCATTTCCTACGGGGCAGAGGATTTCATACGTGCACATGCACACACACGCAGCACACCCACGTGCCCATACACACGTGCACAACAGACTCACATGTACATATTCAACTTTCTTCACACCATATGAAGTTGGTATTATCCCTGTTTTGCAGATGGGAAAGCTGACACCTTCTGGGTAAAGTGACGCACCTACGGTGCCAGGTGCCCCAGCCACTCCTGGAACATCCTCCAGCCTCCCGGTCCTCTGCGTGGACAGACGTCTAAGCGAGAGCTGGCCCTCCTTCCCCGAGTCTGTCATGGCCTCAGGGCCATCTCTCCTGTCTGCCAACACGGACACTATGCCAGCCCCATCCCCACCTGGCTGCCATGCTCTGGGCCGAGGCCTGTGGTCCCTCCACCCAGGAAACGGGCACAGAGGCCTTGCCGTGGGGACCCCGCCCGGCTTCTTCCCCTCCCCGCTCACTTCTGGCAGGCGCGGCACTCCACAGTGCCGTTGGCCTCCCGCACGGCCGTCTGGTGGACGAACACGGGGTAGGCGGTGTCACAGGGCTGCAGCAGGTCCTGCTTCTTGTGCTTGTGGGCTGCAGGGACACAGAAGGGCGTGGACGCGGGGCCTCGGTCACCCCCATGGGGGTGGGCCTCGACAGCCTGGGCAGTGCGGTCACTGCGCCGGGAGGAAGACGTTCCGTCCTCTGGCACCTGGCAAGCCATCAGGACTTGGGAGTCCAGAGGGGAGGGAACAGTTTTGCGTGAGTGACGCCCTGGGTGACCCTGGGGATGCCTGGCTCTCTCCTCACCGTTAGTGGTGATGTCCAAGGGCTGGGAGGAGGTCAGGGGCAGCAAGCGGGGCGTGGGGGGCCTGGGAGACGACAGCCCTGCTCCCTGTGGACGGTCCAGTGGGCGCTCTGCAAACACAGCTCCCAGACAAGTCCTGGGCCTCCCCCTCCACTGACCCCATGGTCACTTAGAGGTGGGTGGGGGGGCAAAGCCCTGACTTCCTGGACTCCTCAGTGGGGCCTGTGTGGTCACTTGAGCGGGCTCAGAAAGGACCTGGCAAACTCAGAGGCCTGGCAGCCACCCTGGAGGACCCACGTCCACTCCTGGGTGAGCAGGTAGCAGTTCCCTGTGTGGCGCCTTGGCCTCTGGACCACAGGACACTGCCTTCTGGTGTCGTCAGAGCTATTGCCCAGGAGAGGGCTGGAGGGTTCCGTTTTCCCCAGGGCAGGGCTGTGATCATGTGGGATGAGGTCTGGGCTACAAACCCACCCCTAAGGAGTGAGGCTCTAAGTTGGGAGGGGCCTTCGTTATTGAGGAGTCCTGGAAAGAGAGAGGTTCCTGGGACCCTCCCAGCCCAGCAATGGGGCTCCTCGGCCGCTCTACTTACAATGATGGAAGACAGTCTTGGCTGTCCAGGATGTGTGGCCCAGCACAGGGTGGCGATGATGGTGATGATGGTGGTGTCACATGGTGTGGGCATGATGTCACATGGAGCAGATGATGTCACACAGGAATGGTCAACATCACATGGGATGAATGATGTCACATGGATGATGTCACACATGATGGATGACATCACACGGGATGGATGATATCACATGGGATGGATGATGTCGCATGGGATGAATGATGTCACACAGGATGGATGACGGCACATGGATGATGTCACACGGGTGCATGGTGTCCCAAGATGGTGTGATGTCACACAGAGGTGAGGGAAGGTGATGGAGAGGCCGACAGGATGGACGTGAGCCGTGGACCCTCTGCAGTCCCTCCCCCCCAGGTGGCGGCTGGAATGATGCTGGGCTCTAGGCTTCCACAACTGAGCACTCACCCTCGGCCCCGTGGTCCCCACGCCAGGAGCCCCAGGCCCTCCACTCCAGCAGGAGCCTGTCGGATAGAAGCGATCAGAGATCTGCTTGCCCGCCTCACTGGTCCCCAGACTGTCTGCCCCTTCTCCCAGGGAACCCTTGTCTGGAGGCTCCTGGGGGGCAGAGGCAATCCCCTGGCAGCTGCGTGCAGGAGAGGGCACCATATGTGCTTGGCTGGTTCCACCCCGGACCTCAGCCTTCTCCTCTGGGGTCATGGGGACCTCAAGCAGCTCCCTTCATGGGGCCCCCTCATAACCCACCCCTGCCTGAAGCCCCCAGTTCCTCACTCACAGCAGGAGCTCATTCACCAGCCACCTGGTAGCCTTCAGGAGGGCAGAGATGGGCTGGGGGGTGGGGAGAGGGAATACACTGTGAGCCCTGGGGCGCCCTCACTCCATCGGAGACCATGCCCCTGCTCCCCCCGCCCCCTCCCAGCAGCGGGATCAGGCGAAAGCTGTTCTGGGAAATTCCTGCTGTAGAGCGGGTGATGCCCGTCATCACTCTGGGTGTTGTCTGTGGGATCCTTGCCGGGTTGTGGTTGGTGCGGGGGTGAGGATGGGAAACAGGCAAGGAGGGGGCTGCAGCTGTCCCTCTGCTGGAGGAGTTGCCCTAACACCCCCCACCCCACCCCCACCCCCTGCCAGATAAGACCTGGGAGGGAGCGGACTGTGGGCGGCAGGGGCCTGGGAGAGGTGGGCCCTGATTCCTGGAGAGAAAGGGCCGCCATCTGGTGGAGGGAAGCCCTGGGGGGACACTCACGCTGACCAGGGGCTGGGAGGCACTGTGGTGGTGGGTCGGGGGTCTGCACATGGCCTGGTAGTCATACATGGTCACTCTGAAGCCAGAAACGGGACAGGGTGAGTCCAGACCCCACCCGTACTCCACCCCGACCCCGCCCTGGGAGACTTTGCAGCAGGGTTTTCGTCAGCAGGTCAGAAAATGACATTTCTGGGCTCAGGCTGCTCAGAGAAGGGACAGCAAACCTAGTTTTCCCTCTCAGGTGGACCTCAGCCCTTCCCACCCCCGCAGGTCTCGGGCTTAAGGAGGTTGCTTCTGCAGCCCTGGGGGTCCCTGTGGGGTTCTGAGGTTGGGATCTAAGACACGTCTGGTCCGTTTAGCATCTGACCCCGCCTCCTCTGTATGTGTTTTGGGTCGGGGGGGGGGGCGCCTGCCCCACTTACTGGCTGAACACCCCCATGCTGAGCAGCTGGGTCACGAGCGCACCATCCACCTCCCCCAGGAATCGGCCCACCTGCGAGGGCAAGAAGAGGGAGAGGGAGGGACAGGGGGCTGCTCCAAGCTCCAGACCTCACCTGCGTCTGGGCTTCCCCTCCTGGGGCTCATTAGGTGTGTGTGTGGGGGGTTGTACTGTCTCTTTGGCTGCTCTGGGCCCAAGGGGGTCCTGGGCGTGTGGCCAGGCAGTGTGATGGGGTACCTCCAGGCCAGGCTGACTGGTGAGGATGGACTTTCCCACCCCGGAGGTCCAGACGAGGGGAGAGAGTGTGAAGAGGGGAGTCCAGAGCCCGGCCTCATGGAGGTGGGAGGGTGGGCGCTGAGGTCTGAGCTTGTGCCTTGAATTCACATGCAGAAAGGTGCCCCCAAGGCGAGGGGCCCACCTGATGGTGTTGGTGCTCTCAGAAGAGACCCCAGGGGGCTTCCTGCCCCTTGTGCCTCTGGGGACATACTGAGAACCCTGCCACCCGGGGGGCCCCCTTGGGGGGGGCCCCTCAGCTTCCAGCCCCTACAACTGTGAGCATCTTTGTGGGCCGCCCTGTCTGTGGGCTCTGCTCCGGATGTCTGAATGGACTAAGGGGGGGGGGCCGGGGAGGCAGAGGGGAGTAGGTGGTGGGTGGCAGGAGGGGGCTCAGGACTCTGGGGTGGGCCCCCAGGGCAAGGCTGCAGACAAAACCCGGGGGCCTCGGGGAACCCCCCACCAATAGAGGGGGGAGACAAAACAGACAGAAGATCACCTATGGGCATCTGAGGTGAAAAGGCTGGATTCTGGGGTCTTTCAGTGCCAACTGTGGTTTCAGACTCTCTACTTCTTGTCTCTGGGCCAGGATATTGCTTCTGGCCTTTTTCTGACTGAGGTCATTGGACGATGTGACCCGCGCCCCGCTAGTTCCGCCTCCTTAGCATCTTACCTCCTGGGGCCTCTCTGAGATCAGGATGAACCCATTGTTGTCAACGATGAAGCAGTCCAGGTCCTGGGGAGAAGCCCAGAAGGAGGCCAAGGCTAGGCCCTAACACTGACCCCTGGTCCTGCTGCCTGCCTGCTGGACCATGTGGGAGGCCTCCATGTGGAGCTCAGGCTGGGGAAGCAGGGGCTGGCCCATCAGGGGGACGCGGGTGGGGCTGCCCCTCCCCCCTTCCCGCTGGGGAGGCACTCACACTGTCCCGGCAGCTCTCCTGGCACGGCCCCTCCGCGGCACCACACTGGAGGGAAGGACAGAGCCGTGAGTTGTGTATCCATGTGCATGCATGTGTGTGTGATGTGTGTGTGTGATATATGTGTGTGGTGTGTGACATGTGCAACACATGTGTGTGGCATGTTATGTGCGCGACATGTGATGTGTGTGGCACGTGTGATGTGTGTGTGATGTGTGTGACATGTGTGATGTGTGACATGTGTGTGATTTATTGATGTGTGTGATGTATATGTGATGTGTGATGTGTGTGATGTATTTGATGTGTGTGTGCTGTATGTGTATGTGATGTGTGTGTGATGTGTGTGATGTGATGTGTGATGTGTATGTGATGTGTGTGATGTGTGTGATATATGTGTGATGTGTGTGTGATGTGTGTGTGATGTGATGTATGATGTGTGTGTACGATGTGATGTGTGTGTGATGTGATGTATATGATGTGATGTGTGTGTGATGTGTGTGATGTGTGTGATATATGTGTGATGTGTGTGTGATGTGTGTGTGATGTGATGTGTGATGTGTGTGTACGATGTGATGTGTGTGTGATGTGATGTGTATGATGTGATGTGTGTGTGATGTGATGTGTATGATGTGATGTGTGTGTGATGTGATGTGTGATGTGTGTGTGATGTGATGTGTGATGTGTGTGTGATGTGTGTGATATGTGTGGTGTGACGTGTGTGCACCTATGGCGTGTCCCTGTCCTCTGTACCCTGTGTGTGTGCACGCGGGGTCCGCGGCTGAGATGCGGGCAGGACCTCGCTGGTGGCAGCAGCTCAGTGCATAGGTCAGGGTCCTCACGCTGAGTGTCCGCCTGCACCCCCACACCCACCTGCTGGGTGGCGGCCCAGAAGCTGCGCTGCAGGAACTCCATCCTCATCTGGATGCCCACGGCTGCCGAGGAGCGGGGCAGGGGGCGGCAAAGAGATGGTGAGAGAGGTGTTAGATCCTAGTCCAAGGGAGGAGGTGCATCCACAGAGGGGTGGGGGCACCCGGCAGCCTGGTGAGGGGGCGCGTGCCTCTGTCTCTCCAGAGCCGACAACACCAGAAAACACCCCAAGATGTGATGCTGAGGTCCAGGAGTCAGGAGCTCGAGGTGGGTGCCTAGGGAGGTGGTCCCACTTTCCCGCTGAGACCCAGGCTGGAGTCCAGGGTGCTGTGGGAGGCGACACCCCTCCAACACCCGCTCAGGCCCCCACTTAAGAGGCTCCTCCTTACAAAGCAGGACCTGGTGAGCAGGCCTGCAGGAGGCTCCCAGCCCCAGAAAACCCGGCTCGATGCTGCTGCTTCCAAGAGCCACCATGTCTCTCTGGTCCCCAGACAGGCTGGGAGAATGCGAGGTGGTGCCCAGAGGCTAGGAGAAACCTGGGCCTGGAGAATAGGAAGACAGGCAAGTAGTAGAGAAAGAGAAAGCATAAGGAAATGAGGCCGCTTCCTACCATCAGGAACGAGGATAAGAGAAAATGCCCTGGGTGTCAGCTCAAATCCCGAGCGTGAGTCCACACGGCAGAAGGTTTGCGGGGTTCCGTGTCCAAGTTACCAGCCCCTAAACATGAAGAAGACCTACCGCCCGGGGTCTCTAAGGCCCCTGACTGCGCTCTCCTCTGGGCCTGACGTGAGCCCCTGCCGGGAGGGCGCTAATAAACCTGGGCAAGCCCCCCTTGAGGTCTGCAGCTCCCTCTTCTGTGAAACAGGGATGGGTCGGGGTCCCCAGCATTCTACCATGTTCATGAGACCACGTCATCCCAATGGGGAGGTTTCCCACCACAATCGGGGGCTTTGTTGCTGCTGTTGGGTCTGGGGGTGGGGGTGTGTGAGAGGAGTGGGTGGGAAGGAGACTGGATGCTCCCGTCCCCCATTTCTCCCTACAGCTGCAGGAGGCCCCTCAGCCCTACCCCTCATTTTTCCTATTACAACCTCCCCTGATGCTCATTTCATTTATTTATTTTTAATCTTGGCTGTGCCGCAGGGCATGCAGGATCTCAGTTCCCTGGTTGGGGATGGAGCCTTGTACTGGCAGCATGCTCTGAACCACTGGGCCACCGGGGAGGACCCCTTGCCCTTCATTTTAGACAGACTTCTCTCACCTGTAGGAAGAAGCTGAGCGAAAGAGGAGGCACCTTCTAACAACGGCCAGAGGGGAGCAGTGTGAATGGTTCAGGATTCAAGAAACCCTGACCTCGGTCTCTGGGTCCAAGCTCTCAGACTCTTTCTAGAGCTAGACTCAACCTCGCAACTCCATGGCTCAGGGCCGGGTCTCCTGAAGGTATGGCATTTCCAAACTGGGAGAAATTCTGGGATTCTAATTCTGGCGTCTCAAGAGTGCGGGGCCAAGGTTTCCCTAATGAGACAGGGTTTTGAGGCTTGTGGGTGGAGACGGAGGAGCAAGGCCCCAAGCCTGTTCTCCGGAACCAGGGTCCATCTCAGGGGTCCACGAGCCCCCCCCAGGCCCTAGGCCCTGGTCCTAGGACTTGGGACATCTCTCTGCTTGCTGTCAGTCCACCCTGGTCACCAGTAGGAATTTCAGACTTCACATGGTCAAAACCCAACTGTGGCTCTTTCTCCCCAAACCTGAGCCTCCTTGAGACCCCTCCCCACGTGAGGCCACCTAATGGTCACCATCTTGCCGTATCCCGCCAGAGTGCTGCCGCCCTTGTTCCCAAACTTCATGAACCTCCCTGCTCTCTCCACCCCCACCACTACCCCAATCCACCTGAATTAATGCCCCAGACCCCCGAACGGATCCTTCCCCACGGAGCCTTGAGAGTGACCTTCCTGAAGGTTAAATTGCGTCTCTCCCTTGCTCAAAACCTCCCGAGGCCTTCCTGTTGCCCTCAGAATAAAATAGAAACTTCTCTGTGGTTTGGCATCCAAGGCCCTGCCGATCTCTCTGATTTCAGCCCAAATCTCCAACTCCCTTGAACAAGTCTGTTCCCAACTCAGGGCCTTTGCACCAGCTAACTGTTCCCCTCCACCACCCCCACCTTCCCAGAATGCACTTCCCTAGAATTAATGAAGCACTCCTTCTCACGACTGGATCTCAATGCAAACAGCATCTCCTGGGGCAGTGTCCTGACCTCCCGGATAGTGCGGTCCTCCCCTCGACTGGCCATTCACACTCTATCTCATCACTCTTTATTTTCTAGGAAGCATGACATTTACTTTCCTCATCCATAATCTGTCTTCCCCTACCTAGAACGGGGGCTAACAGCGGGCAGGGGGCTGGAATTCCCTAGCCCGGAGAATAACACTTAGCACGTAGCGAGTCTCTTGATAAATACTTTTTGAGCTAAATAAAACAAATGCTTTTGATTTCTGCAGTTGGCCCCCTGACTGGTGAGCCAGTTCTGCAAGGCCTCCCCTTACCTTGGGGTGGGCGCTCACAGACTCCTCCCTCCACTTGGAGTCCCGCCTTCCTAGAGATGGGGGTGCTGGGTGCTGGAGATCTAGCTGGGCCTGGTGCCCTCGAGGACCCAGGGGAACCCACTAAGAGACGGGGAGTTCAGGTGAGACACAAAGAAGAATTTCCTAGGGAGGACCGGTTAGATGCTAAGAGCAGGGGTTGGTTCGGAGTGAGGAAGGCAGGGTGCGGGGCAGGGGGACAAGGGGGCAGGAAGGGGGCATCTTCAAGGATTTAAGGACAACTCACTCACTGTGCTCTGCCACGCCTTACCTGGGGCTCGAATCATTTCAAGCCCTTTTGTTCAATGCCTGCCTCACAACCCGAGGCAGGGCTTCCATGGTGACTCAGATGGTAAAGAGTCTGCCTGCAGTGCGGGAGACCCGGGTTCGTTCCCTGGGTTGGGAAGATCCCCTGGAGAAGGGAATGGCAACCTACTCTAGGATTCTTGCCTGGAAAATCCCATGGACAGAGGAGCCTGGCAGGCTACCATCCGTGGGGTTGCAGAGTCAGACACGACTGAGCGATTTCATTTTCACAACCTGAATCATCATGCTTTTCCACCCCATCAAAGAGCCCAGCCTCCCCCTGGGAGACTCCAGGGTGGCTCTCAGACCTCATCCCCCACTATGGTGGGCCCCAGGTTGGCTGCCCCTGCCCGGCACCGCACCACACCGCCCCCGCCACCGCCACCTCCCTGAAGTCTGCTGTGTGCAGGTGGGACCACCCCTCAGCCAGGGTTAGCAGACGGAATGGTGAAGAGAGAGTCGGTCCCTGGCCGAGGCCGAGGGCGGGTGAGGCCTCCACCCTCCCAGGCTGCTGTCCTCACTCCCCCAGGCCTGTGCTTGGCAGGTCCTTGCATCAGAGCCTGACCTTGGTCCCTAGGGGGACCTGCCACAACCTGTCGGAGGGGGAGCGATCGGACCCCCTTCCTCCTGCCCCTTCCCGGCCTGTCCCCGGCTCCACACGGCCTCCTGCCCTCCTCTGCCTGCTTCCTGCAAAGCAGTTTTTCTTTAAGACCCGCTCGCTCGCACGGCTGGCAGACAAAGAGCCTCAATAAGGCCACAGGCGGCAGACAGCTTATCAAGATGCTCCTCTTTGCTCTGCGTCCTGGCTGTCACCTCCGCGTTGCTTTGTCATCACAGACGGCAAAACAAAACAGCCGTGCGGCACACGCACAAATCCACCCCGCCAGAGCCGCTGTGCCCTGGGAGTCGGAAACTCCATCATCCCTCCCTCGCTCTCCTGTCGACTGTGTCCTTGAAACCCAGCAGCAGGCTGTGCTGACCTGGGGTGGGGGGGCGCGGCTGCAGGTTGGCAGGGCCCATCCTTTACATAGCAGCTGGGGAGCTGGTGCTCAAGGACCCGAGACCTCGTCATCCACCTGCCCACTCCGGGGCAGTGAGTAACCCTGCAGTCCTGTTAACAAACAGCTAATGGCTGGTTTTCAGTGAGCAGTGGAGTCCAGCCTCTGGACCCCAACACCTGGCTGGGCTCTTCCGTCCCTGCCCATTCCTCACTCAGCCAGGGGAGGCGGACCCCTCTTCTGGAAGGGCCCTCCGTTGTAGGCCTGGGGTGACCCACCCACCCACAGACAGCTGTCCTTCGTGATACAGGTCAGAGGAGAAGGTCCAGCTGGGCACATGCACCAGGACAGGAGTTCTGGTTGAGTTTTCAAGGAGGGGGAGGTGTCCTGCGGGTGAGGAGAGGGTTCCAGAGGCGGGGAAGGACATGCTGTCCTGGGAGCAGCCAGGGGACCACGGGGTGTGGGGGGCAGGTGGGGGCCAGTCTCACGATGCAGGGTGGGAGGCTGGGATCCTGGGAGGGAAGGCTGCTTTCCCTCCAACGCTCCTGCTGTTGCCCAGCATAGCAGACAGAGACAGAGGGTGCAGGAGCGTCAAGGGGTCTCTCAGCTTGCACCCAGTGCTGACCACAGACCCCCCGCAAGCAGGTGAAATGGAAGAGGGATGCTGGGTACCCCTGACAAACACGCCATGGATCCAGCCATCAGGCAGGTTTTGAGAGATGCCAGGAAGTTCAACAGGGTCCAGCTCTGGCCGGAGGCTCCTCCCCTACTGGTCCCTGACGTCCTTTCCTTCAGGTCAACCCCTGCCTTCCCTTGGAATATCGATTTCTCTAATGCCTCCATCCTGACTGGCTGGTAGAGAGGCCTCTGAGCTCTTGATGTCACTGTCCCCATCCAGCCAGAGGTCCAGGCTGGGGAGGGGGCTGGGTTTGCCCGCCACTCCCCCCCTACCCCCCCCACCCCTGCGCTCCTCCGGGCTCACCCCAGGGCTCTCCAGACAACCTGCCCCCAGGCCCCGGCCCAGCCTGCCTGCGTCTCCCTCCCCAGATAGCCCTGGTCTGGGGTCATGAGGCTCAGTGACCTCTGTATGTCCGCATGCCCCTGGCTCTGTGTGGCCTGGGGCCCCTCCCTGGAGGACTTCAGGCAGATGGGCCCTTGTGCGCCCATCCAGAAGATCTCCCTTTGACCAAGACCGGGTTCAGCTTTCCCCTCCTGCAGGCATGGTGGGAGATACACGGCCCCCATCCCCTAACAGATTCAGAGCAGCTTCCCGCTTTCCTGGGGCCTCTGTGCTCTGGGTCCTGCCGCTGGTCCCCAAAGGGAAGGGGAGAGGGGACAGAGCCCGAGGATGCTGTGTGGGGGGCAGCCAAGGCGGGAAAGCCTGCGGAGGCGGGGAGGGAAGGTGGTGGTGGGGAGCGCTGGTAAACAGCAATCCTGCCCCTGGAGTTCAGGGTCGGCCGCATCTCCCCCTGAAACGGGAGCGTTTCAAGGGTGAGCGCCTCCGGTGTGTGTGCGCCCGCCCGCCCGTGCGCCCGCCTCCCGTGTGCGCGCCTGTCGCTGTCATCGCGGATGTTCCCCCGCTGTCACTCCGCTGCTCTCGGCTCGCGCGCGCGCCCCTCCCCGCCTGCCCCTCTCCGCGGCTCCCTCTGTCCCTCCCTCTCCTCCTCCGGGTGTCATTGACCCGGCAGCCCTGGCCCCAGGAGGAGGCGGCCGGCCGCAGGCGTCCCTCCCGCCGGTGCGCTGCTGCCGGGTCCTGCTGGGGACCCAGGTCCTGCTGGGGATCGGGCTGTGCTGCTGTCTGATTCCTCCAGGAATTCCAGGAGGGGCTGGCTGGACGGCTCAGACCTCTGATTCAAGGGGCTTGTTCGCGCCAAAGGTGAGTGCTGAGCGCTCGGCAGGGGTGCGGTGGTGGGGGGGGGCGCGTTGCAGGAGCTGGGCTTGGGGCCCGCGCCCATCCTTGCTGGGCTGTGCCTGCAGGGACAGCTGCTCTGCCTCCTACCTGGGGGCAATGGCTGGGGCTGGGGCTGGACTCAGGACCACACGTCTGGGCAGCTGAAGGGCACAGGGAACTCTGACCTCCCGGTGATGGGGACAGGAGCCAGGATTCTGCCAGAGGAGGAGGGAGGAGGCAGCCACGGGGCCAGACGACAGGCCCGGTGGCATAGAAACCGTCCCTGCAGCATGCGGGGTGCCAGCCGGGGGCCCTGGGCCACCTGCATGCCCAGCTCGGCACAGACAGCCCCGGAATCTGGGTGCCATGGGAAGGGGGCACAGCGGACGTCTGTGGGGTAGGGGGCAGCCTGGGGCACTGGACCTCGGGGACCTGACTGACGTCTCTACAGGACGCCCTCAGCGTGGGGCTCTGGCTCCCAGGAGCCTGCCCTTGGACGGGGTGCAGGGGAGCCTGAGTCCCCAGGCTCCAGCGGATCCTCCCTGGGGGGCGTGGCTGGGAGTGGACGAGGGAGGGGTGCCTCCCAGCCCTTCCTCTTGCCCTTCCTCGAGGCGCTGGATCAGCTCTCAGCCCACCCAGGCCAGGTGGGGGCCCCGGGAGCCAAGCTGAGGCTGGAGTCCCCCAAATGCACACCCCCTCTACCTACAAAGGGGTCAGGAAGCCTTGGGAGAGGTGGTGGACTTAGCTTAGGGGCGGCCAGGACAGGACAGTGCAGGACAGAGGCCCCCTAACCAGGCGTCTGGGCCTCCTTGTCCTCTCCCTGAGCTGCTGTCTCCTGCCTGGGGTGGGCGGGGGGCGGGCTGGCACCTGGCTGTCAGGCCCTGGCTGGGCATCACCTGGCCTGACTCAGATTGACACCTGGCAGCTTAGATAACTACACAGGCTGGGGTGCTGGGGGGCAGGCTGAGCACATGGAGACGGGCGGAGGAGTCTAGCCGGGAGGGAAACCCGCAGTGATCCCCCCTCCCCACTGCACAGGCTCAGCTCTGCCAAGAGAGGGAGACCAGGGAAGCCAGCCGGGGGTGGCGGAAGGAGGAGGGGGAGGCTTCTTAAGATCCGATCTGGCTCTTCTGCGTTTGCCTGGAAGCTGTGCCTGGGGCCAAGCGAGCAAACCCTGCCCGCATTTCAGTCCCCAAGCTGAGGAGCTGGGAGGGGGTTTGTAAATGTTGGGGTGCCAGGGGAGGTCTCTCCCCTCCACTACACAGATCAGACCTCATCCCCTGCCTGCCCGAGGCCACCACTGAGCCTGGTCCAGAGCCTGTCCAAGAGCAACTCCTGTGAGAAGTGACGGGGGTGGGGGTACTTTATGTCCGTCTTCCCAGAGGGTCTGCTTGAGATCGGGAGTGTCTGACAAGGGAGCCAGACTGCAGGAAGTTGGGGATGAAAACGGGACTTGCATTTAAAAATGAACCAGGAGGCTGTCTCCTCCAAGAACAAATTTAGAGATTTAAAAAAACCTGCTTCCGCACTGCTTGAGCCGCGTGTGTTCCGGGTGCTGGGCAGGGAAGAGGCGGGAAGGGCCCGGAAGGCCAGGCCGGTGGTCGCAGGTGGAGGGCACAGCCCTGTGCCACCCCCAGGGCTCAGCGTGTGCACCCTGGTCCTGCCTACGGGGGGCCTTTGGGCTTGGGTGGGCGGGAAGGAAGCGCTGCCCTCGGGGCCCTGGGCATTGGCCTCAGCCCGGCCTCTCGCCTCTGTGACCTTCACCTCTCCGCAGAACGCAGGGTGCAGAAGTCTCATTCTGGGGCAGATATCCAGGGGAGAGGGTGTGCAGCTGGTCGGCATGATGTCCCAGGGGCAGGCGTGCTGGTCAAGGCACAGTGGACGTTGCTGGCTATGGGGCGTGGACCCAGGATGGACAGGTCTCAGGGGGCTGGACTCGGGGATGGACATGACCTGGCAGCAGGGAGGAGGGGTGTGGACGCCAGGCCTGTGGGGTTTGCTGGAGGTTTCTAACTGGAGACTGAGCCAGCCCTGCCTGGAGGAGGAGGCGGGTGGGTGCAGAATCACAGAGAGATCTGCGGCCCCCCTAGCTGGGTGTCTGCGGGAGACAGGAACACGGCAGGCCACTCCTTCCTGGGGCCAGGCGAGGCGGCCGCCCCTGAGTCTCCAGGGGACTCTGGTCCCCGAGTCTCCAGGGGACACGGCCCCCCACGCAGCTGGGAGGGAGCACGTGGGCCCTTCTGCTCCAGCTGCCGCCTCCTGCCCGTCAGCACCTCCCGCCCCAGCTTCCCTGGAGCTCCCAGCCCACTTGCTCACCTCAGTACACAGCCCCTGCTGCAGGGGTTGTAGAAAGCATCCTCCTCACCCCCACCCAGGAAGACTCCTGCCCCCCAGGACTCTCCCCATGGCATCTGTGGGCATCCCTGGGAAGGAGGGTGTTGAGGAGGGGGCAACCAGTTTGATAAGAACAACTGCGTCAGGTACTCTGAGACTGTGGACGAGGGGACACGGGGTCAGCTGTGAAGCTGGGCAGCTGAGAGGGTGCAGCCCGTCCCTGCCCCCTGCCTCCCGCTCCAGCAGCCTCCATGTGCAGGCAGGGCAGAGCAGGACTGGCCCAGAGGCCTACAAAGACAGCCAGATTAGCAGCCTTGTCACTGGACTGCTCGGATGCAAGCCTGCCACCTTCCACTGCCTGACCTGAGACAAGATACTGAGTCTCCAGAGTCTCCGTTCCCCCAATTGCAAGTGGGGCTGACAACACATCTCAGCCCAGGGAATAGCTGGGGGACCAGGGACCACGCACAGCTGCTTGTGGCTATGGTAACGCGTCTCCCCGGTCCAGAGCCTTCCTGCAGGAGGTGATGCTTCCAGCACCCTACCACTCCTCCACCGCCCCCTGCTGCCTGGGCCCCTGACACGGCCCCCCAGGAGAGGAGTGACCTAGCCCAGGGCCTTTCAAACTTGACCAGATACATGAATTGCTTGGGATCTTGTAAGAGACAGGTTCCAACCCTGTCGGCCTGGCCTGGGTCTAGAAAGTCCCTGGGGAGGCTGGTGCTGTTGACCCCCGGACTGCCCTTGAGTAACAGGGGGCTGGGTGGGGCAGAAAGGCCCGTTTCTGCTCTGGGGTGGGGTGCGCTCAGGGCGCTTGGCCCTCAGCTCCTGACCTATCTCCACCCAGATTCTCTCAGCAGGGCCTGGTCTGCCCTCCGCTCTGTGCCCCTGTCCCTGGACTGGACAAAAATGCCCACAGGGCTGAGGGGCTTGGAGCCTGGAGACCCCCCCACCCTCACCTGTTCCCGTTCTCCACCTGGGTGGGGTCTCCCCTCCCAGACGGTGTGAATTTATTCCTTAGCGGCCAGCGCCTTCCTTAGCAGCTGTGCCCCTGGCTTCCTGATGTAAGTCACACTTTCCTAACGAGGCTGAAGGCTTCCGAATTTGGGGGAGGGGGGAAGGGGGTCCTCAGGGCAGAGTGCTGGAGGGCAGAGTGCTGGGCCCCGGGGTCCCTGAGGGGAGCTTCTGGGGTCTCCAGGCAGGCAGGACCACTCCCCAAGGAGCACAGTCTGCAGCCTGTGGACCTGGGGAGGGGTTTGTTCTTGTCAGGCTTCTCTGGAGATCCCAGGGCCACTAGTGTCCCCTCTCCCAGACAGTGGCTTTAATGGACCTGGCTGGCTTTAATGCACCTCACGCTGGGGGGCGGGGTGTCAGGACCTGCACTCAAGTCACCTTCACCTACAGGTGCTCACTCTGGGGATGGGGTGGGGAGGTGGGGATGAGCCCAGGTGGGCATGGGGCCTGGGCTTGGGGGAGAGGGCTCTCTGCCACCTGCCTCTCTACGGCAGCTGGAAAGGCCTGTGGGTGTGTGGGTCCGAGGTGGACCCCTAGGGGTCTCTCTTGACCTTGCTTCCAGGCTGGCCGTCCCTCCCCCACTGCCCCATGCACCTGTCTGCTGGGGGCACTCGGGAACTGCTGGAGGGGAGGCATCTGAAGGTGCGTGAGTGCATGCGTGTGCGTGTGTCTACACGTGCCCTGGCTGCACACTCTCTGGGGTTGTCTCACCACGTGCTGTGTTGGGAGCGTGTGTGCACCCTTCTCAGCCCACACCTACATGTCTCTCTGCTGGGGCCACTGCCGGGGACCGTCACCAGGGACTGGGCCTCTGTCTCTGGCCAGCCGTGTGACCAGGCTAGTTGCTCTTCGTCTCTGAGCCTGGGTGGCAGCTGACCCACCCGGTACCGGGTGGGTGCTGCAAGCTGCTGACATGAAGGTCCTTGCTGGCGGGAGCAGTGAGGGACTGTTCCGAGGGTCGGGGCTGAGAGAGTGGACAGTGACCTCGGTGATGGCGGTCTGGAGGCTGTGTGTGAGCCTGGCCCACGGCGACCACCATGTGACGACTGCTGGCCTGGCACAGGCTCAGGAGCAGAGGTGTGAGGTTGGGGGCAGGAAAGAGCAGTCAGCAGCCAGGCTTGTAAGCTGCTGACCCCTCCCTGGGGAGGATGGGGGCCCCGCTGTCTCCTTGCGTCTACCTGAGGTCACCTAGACTGTCTTCCAAAACAATGTGTCCTGAGTTCAGCAGACATGAACTCGCCTCTCACGATTAGACTGATTTCATGGGGGACAGTGTGTTTTGCTCATCACCTTCGAGATAAGGAGACTGAGACCCAGAGAGTTGATGGGGTTTAACTTACAGAGCGGCTGACAGGGACTTGAACACAGAGCTCACCCTGACCTGGGCATTTCAGCCAGGAGCCCATGGGGTCTGGCCCTGGGAGGTAGGGGGGCATCCAGAGACGACCCCTGAGCTGCCCCTCCACCGCCAAGTCCAGGACCCTGGTCCATCCTCAAGGCTGCTCCCTCACCCCACATCTGCCCAGCGTGCCTCCTCTGCAGCCCCTGAGAGGCCGTGAGCCCTCCAGAGCAGGGGATGGGGGCTGAAGTCCAGAGCCAAGTGCCCCCCCCAACAACAGTGGTCCCCTCCCTACCGCCCCCCATCCTGAGCAGCACCCACGCTGAGCAGATGCCCCTGCCTGGCCACTGCTGAGGACCCGCGGGCGCTGCGCTCCGACTGGGCTCGCAGGGCCAGGAGGCAGCTTGGCAGCTGTATGGAGGGGGGGAGGAGGCGGGAGAGGCCCCTGGTGCCCGAGGGAAGCCCTGCTCGGCGATGAGATTCCAGGGCTCAGCAGGCCCCCAGCAGCTCCTCCCACCTCCTCAGCGTCTGCTCGGCTCAGCCATTGGCTCCTGGGCTCCCAGAATTAAACCGGCTGTGGGAGGGGGAGCGGGAGGCTGCAACCTGGAGCCACCGGGGGGACCCATGTGGCCGCCCTCTGCTAGCAGCATCACGGCCCCCCTCCCGGCTGGCCTTCCCCACCTGGTGCCAGGCCCAGCTGTGATGGGGCCCTTGGCCACATCGGGAGGGACCAGGGAGTGCCTGTGCCATTGGGTTGGGGCGGGAGCGGGTCTCCTGGGAGGCGGAGCCCCCACTCCTTGTCCTTGGCCCTGCAAGCTCACCCTCTGCCCGGCCTGTCTCCCCACTTCAGCACGAGCCCCTGAGCTGATGAGTTTTCCCCCAGATCTGCTGGAGGCAGAGGACAGAGCACAGCCGCTCCCCCACTAGGAGACCGTGGAGGGAGAGCAGGGGGCTGCCCCTCAGCGAAAGCGGACCTGGGCCTCTCCCGCGACCCACCCACCGGCTGACCCACCGACTGCCCCTGTGCTGGGCCTGGTCTCTGCCTCCCCAGGGGCCATGGTAAGAGTGCAGTGGGGTGGGGAGCCAGGTAGCCCTGGCTTTCAGCACCTGGGACGCGGGGGAGGCCTGTACACAGAGGAGGCCACATGACTCCAGACACGTTCAGGAGATCATGCAGGGAGATATGGAGAAGGGGTCGGCAGAGGATGGGGGCTGGGGCGGCGGGGGGATGGACGGTTCCTGAACCTCCTAGCCCGGAGCTTGGTGCCGTCTGGGCTCCATCTAAGGGCTCCCGGGATGCCCGCCTGCACCTGCACGCACCCTGACTCATCCAGGGAGGCTGAGGTTCCTGGGTTCCCAGCCCCCTCCCTCCCCTTCTCCCCCAGCCAGGGAATCAGAGCTGAGAAGAACAGGAGAGGAGTGTAAAGAGACACCGGCCACCTCCACAAGCCCTGGGCTGGATCACCCGATGCCCGCTTTGCTCAGCTCTCTCTCCCACTCTCTCAGGACTGACCGAGCAGACGGACGGGGGCTCCTCTCCCCGGAAGTGCAGGGCCTGGCAGCTGTGCAGCCACCATGTTGGCCCCGGGCGGCCGCCCTGAGCCAAGGACCTGGCTCGCTCTGTGGAGGCAGATCTCCTGTGAGTTGGGGGCGGGGGGGCTGTGGCAGGGTCGGGCATCAGGGCCAGCAGGGGTGCAGGGACCATCTGCCCAGGTGTCCGTCACCAGCCCTGCCTGTGGTTCCAGGGGAAGAGCCACCTCTGAGCTCTGCGGTGGGCAGATCGGGAGCGGGGTCCCACATGCAGATCTGTCCCCTTAGATGGGACTGCTCCTGAGCCCAGGGGCCCCAGCTCCATCTTTTAATGGCAAATCTCTTGTCCTGCTTGGCTGCAGGCTGAGTGGGCCTGGAGCCCGCTCTTAGGGCCCCAGGATGGAGGGAACCAGTGCGCTCTGGGAACACAGCGCTGGAAGGGCTTTCGGGGTATGGTCCAGGCCCTCCCCTGCGTATGGGGAACCGGGGCCGCCCACTTCCCACAAGGGAGACTAGTGAGCGGTCGGGTGAAAGAAGCCCTGGGAATTCTCGCACAGCTGACGGGTCAAGGCTACGGGGTTAGAGGTAAGAACCGTCCCCGGGGGGACGTCCCTCCACCTGACCTGCCGGTCAGCCCTGAGATGCCACCGCCCTACGACATAGGTGAGCTGAATTATTCACCGTGCAGAGCGGCTGAGCTCTGAGACGCCCAGCTCCCCTTTCAGCTTCCTTCTAGAGTCACTCAACACCTCGCAACACATGGCTCTGTTTTCTCGTCACCAGAGCTTTCACGCCGGCCTGAATTTCTCGGGGCGGGGGGACGGTGACCTCTAGTCCTGTTGGTCCTTCTGAGTGGGGAGGCCGGATGGGCTGAGTGTTTCTCTGGGCAAAGTGGGGTCTGAAGGAAGGGAGGCTGACTTCCGAGTGGCAGGGCGGGGGGAGGTGGGCAGGCTGCCTTGGCCGCAGTCAGCTCAGAGGGCGATAGGTCAGCGGTCCAGCAGGTGACCTCGGGTGGACAGAAGGGCCTCCAGTTGGCATCCCCGGCCCTACCTGTGCTCATTTCCCCATTGAGAACAGAGAGGCTCAGGTGTCAGCCTGGTCAGGCCTCTCAGGTGTCACTGACCCTCCAGGAAAGGGGGTGCAGTCCTGTCCTGTTCCCTCAGGCCCTGCCCCTCGGGACATCAGACACCAGACCCGTGCTGGACATAGATTCAGAGCCACCCCCTCCTGGACCGGGTCAGGGAGGTGTTGCCTCTCCCAGTGGAGCCAAGTGGCCAGAGTGGGTCTGAACTTGTCCATCACTCCTTGGCTGGGCCTCTGGGCTTGGCCAGCATCCCTTCCTCTCCATGGGGACACCCAGGAGGACAGTAAAGGGGACTTTGCGCTCACTCTTAGGAGGGTGGACCCCTGAGCGAGCTGCCCTGAGGTGGTTTTCTCTGAGTGCCCCTTCCCCTGCAGCCCCGCCACAAGGGCTCTGGGCAAACCATGAGACCACGAGAGGAACGCTGCCACCGGATTCCTCCTGCAGAAATTGGGGACAGAGCCCCCCGCTGAGGGCAAGGCCGGTTGTGGAGCAAGAACAGATGTGGGGCGTGTCCGGGCCCAAGATTTCTGTGGCTCGCACCGCAGTGTGCTCTGCGTGGAGGGGGAACTGGCGTCTCACCCCGTCATTTCCACAGCGGCCTCGGGATGGGAACTGGGTGCCAGGGCTCCCTCCTCACCCTGAGGTGCTGGCCCGTCTTGGATGTGGGATTCCTGCAGGCCGGGGTGGGGGGGGTTGGTGTGCCCCTTGGTGCATACAGCACGGCCCCCACCCACTCTCTGTGCAGCTCTAGATGCATGTCGGGGGTGGGCACCGAGAGAAGGGAAGAGAATCCTTCCCACGGCAGTGCCCCTGGAGAGGGACGTGGAGGGTCCCCTCACAGCCCCACATCCTCTGTCGTGTCCACGTCTATCATGTCGGGGGCCCAGGCACCCGAGGGGACCCGCCACAGGGGATCTGTTCACCTGAGGGTGCTGCAGGTGCTGAGTTCTGTCTCACGTGCTCAGGACACACTAGTGCACGCTTGTGGGTGGGCCATGGGGATCCTGGCAAGGCCCCGCTGTGGGATCTGCACGAGGGGGACAGCAGGAAGAGGTGGTGACCATCTGTCCCTCTCTCCCCCGTCCACCCCCCAGGGCTCGCCTGCTGGATCGCCCTGTGTGCGGCGGAGGCCGTCCCCGCCTGCCCCTTCCCCTGCACGTGTGATGGCCGTGGCCTGCAGGTGGACTGCAGCGGCCTGGGCCTGACTGCGCTGCCCCCGGGCCTGCCGGCCGCCACGCGCAGCCTCCTGCTCCTCAACAACAGGCTGAGCTCCCTGCCCGGCGGGGCCTTCGCCAACCTGTCGGGCCTGCAGCGGCTGGACCTCTCCAACAACTTCCTGGACCGGCTGCCGCGTGCGGCCTTCGGGGACCTGGGCAACCTGACGGAGCTGCAGCTCCGTAACAACAGCCTCCGGGCCCTGGACACCGCACTGCTGCGGCCCCTGCCACGCCTGCGCCACCTGGACCTGTCCCTCAACGGGCTGGCCCGGCTCCCGCCCGGCCTCTTCGACGGGCTGCCTGCCCTCCGCTCCCTGTCGCTGCGCGCCAACCGCCTGCAGAGCCTGGACCGCCGGACCTTCGAGCCCCTGGTCGGCCTGCAGCTGCTGCAGGTGTCAGACAACCCCTGGGAGTGCGACTGCCACCTGCGGGACTTCAAGCGCTGGCTCGAGTGGTTCTCCTACCGAGGTGAGTGCAGGGGAGGTTGGACCGGCCAGCAGCAGGCAGAGGGGCTGGTACTGCCCCTTCCTCCTGTGTCCCCTCCGCTCCGGCCACCCTTCTCTGCCCTCTCTCTCTCCAGACTGACTCCCTGCCACGTGCCACGTGGATTTTCAGAACGGACTTGAACACACAGTATAATTGACCCCTGGGCATCCCTGGGCCCGGGGAAGAGGGGATGGATTAAAACCACCTTCACTCCTTTGAATAATGCTGCCACCTCTTACACACCCACAGTTTTGGGAGGTAGAGTAGAATTCAGATCCACAGATGCAATCCCATTTTCATTTTGACACTGATCTCAACTCCTCCTCCCAAGAAGTTCTGTTATCAAAGCTTTGGCTTAGAAGCCCAAAGCCTCTGGTTTCCAGTTCCTTCCCTTCCTCCTTTCGTTAACCCCAGGCAAGTCCTAGAAAAAGCTTCAAAATGATTAAATGAAATGGACAGGAGGGCAAAGATGTAATCCTCCTGGTTAAAAGCGCCAGATCTGGGTTGGCTTCATGACTCTGCCACTTACTAGCTGTGTGATCTTGAGAAAGTAGGCTAGCCTCTGTGGCTGTGCCCCCATCAGTGAAATGGGGCAAATAACAATATCTGCTTCAGAGAATCTCTGTGCAGATTAAATCAGAAACACATGGAAATTAGCTGGAAAAGTGCTCAGTGTAAAGTGGGTCTGCAGTAAAGCTTACTCATTTATATGTCCACATGCTTGCTGGTGGAAGTCATAATATTTAACCAGGCTTAACTAGACACATGACCAGCACGAAGTAGGGCTCCAAGAATATTTGCTAAATGAATGAATTGATGTGAAAAGGACTCTAATGCTTTCATCAGGCTGACTCCTTTTGTTTCAAAGTGTTTCCACAATCTCATTATTTGCTTAATATTCTCATACATTAGTTAATTAAAAACATTTTACAAATGATGAAGTGCCATAAAATATTAGTCACTGTGGTAATTTCTCCCATTTTTTGTGAGAGGAGAAGTAATAATGAACACTTGCATAGTTTCCAGTTTCCGAGTATCTTTCCATACCCATGACCTGCTTGACCCCTTAGAGCAGCTGAGATGGTCATTCTTATGACAGCCACGAAAATCGAGCCTTGTGAGTGATTACGTGACTTAGGTACGTTGCACAAGATGATGTGGCTGGGAAGGAGTTGGCCTCAGGTTTTTGGAGCAGGAAGGTGAGGTCGCCCCATCTCCATGGCCAGTTCCTGCTGGCACAAAGGCCCTGGGCACGGTTCACGGGGTGTAAGCCTTGCACAGGCGGTTGGTGGCATGGGGGATTGGACAACCAGACTGATGTGTGACCCGCAGGGGACGTCCTTGCCCCTCCAGACGGTCATTGGTCACAGGGAAGTAAAAAGCACGGAGGGGAATGTACATTTTAGGAACTTTTCACTGTTGGAGCTATTTTCCACCCTGCATGCCTCCAAAAGACACCAACCAAACCAAAACAAAGAACGTAGGCTTTTCCTGCACGCGGGAAAGACTGATGTCTATTGTGTGGGGAGTCTGCGGCAGCTGGGCTGGGTTGGGTTGGGCACCAGCAGGGATGAGGGGACAGGAGCCCAGGCCCTTCCAGGAGGGCAGGCAGTGCCTGCATCTCGGTCTCTGGACACTGAAAGAGGCCCAAAGGGGGTGTCTGGGCAGTTCCCCTCCTCTCGCCCCACCTGTGTTCTGCACCCGCCTCCCCCAGGTCAAGTCTGGCCCGGCCATCGTTCGGACGAGCCTAGGCAGCCTTTGTGGCCTTCATGCCCTCGTTGACTCTGGCCCCTCCTCTGCCCTGGGGGTCTTCGGAGTCCCCTGACAAGATGCCTCTGGGCTCAGGGTGCTACGGCCAGGGCGCTGGTGGGGCCACAGTTGCTCTAAGAAGGACACCACCCTTGTGGTTTCTCCTCTCCCTTCTCCAAGGAGATACCTTAGGGACCAAGGTCCCTCTTCCGACTTCTGCCCTTGATGTTAGCGGGAGGAGCCCGGGGGCATGAAACGCTGGGGCGAACGGTGCCGGGGGTTACAGACGGGTCAGCAGGGATCAGGACAGTGCCTGGGTTACAGATGGGTCAGCAGGGATCAGGCAAGGAGGAGTATGGACTGCATTTGGCTCTTGGCCCCTCCTTCCTGAGCACCGGGCAGGGAGTGGGCGGTTTGACTCTGGGGAGCAGGCAAGGTGAGGATGTCTGTGTGCTTCTCTGTCAAATAGGAACAGGGACGTTGTCCACGTTACAAGGCTTCTACATGGATTAAATGCCATCATGTGTACCCACCTCGCTGGCTCTGGGCTTCATACACGCTAGTCCCCCGCTTTCCTCTCCTATCGCCATGGCTGTAGGACTCACTGCCTTGATGGTGGAAACTGGTCCTCCTGGGCCCTCCACGTGGAAACTGGGGCTGGGGGAGGGACTGCTGGTTCTCATCCCACCTTTTCTCTCTCCCGATGCAGGGGGGCGCCTGGACCAGTTGGCCTGCACCCTGCCCAAGGAGCTGAGGGGGAAAGACATGCGCATGGTCCCCATGGAGATGTTCAACTACTGCTCCCAGCTGGAGGATCAGAATAGCTCAGCCGGGCAGGAGGTCCCTGGGCCGCCCTGCACCAAGGCCAGCCCGGAGCCTGCCAAGCCCAAGCCGGGCCCCGAGCCCGAGCCCGAGCCCAGCACCGCCTGCCCCCAGAAGCAGAGGCCGCGGCCTGTGAGCGTGCGGCGGGCCATCGGCACAGTGATCATTGCGGGCGTGGTCTGTGGCGTGGTCTGCATCATGATGGTGGTGGCCGCCGCCTACGGCTGCATATACGCCTCCCTCATGGCCAAGTACCACCGCGAGCTCAAGAAGCGCCAGCCTCTCATGGGTGACCCGGAGGGTGAGCACGAGGACCAGAAGCAGATCTCCTCCGTGGCCTGAGAGCCCGCCAAAGAGGGTGGGGGAGCATGCTGGCTCTCCCTCTGCCGTCCCCTTTCCACCTTCCTCCCAGTCTCCGCAGACTCTGAGCCTCTGGAAGTCACCAGCGTGACCAGCTCCTCCAGGGCCCCCCAGAGCTCTGGACCGTGGGCAGAAAGGACAGGTGTGCCACAGAGGCTCCTGGGCCCGGCGCCCCCATGCCCCTTCAGCCTTCCCTGCAGTCACAGCTCACAGCCTGTGATGCTCCCCACCTCTGGCTCGACTCATCTCGCCTGCATCCGGGGTGCGGGGCCGGTTTCTGGGACTCTCTTCTGAGCTGGGCCGATGTTGGGCCCAGCTTCCAGCGGCTGGGTACCAATGTGTTGTCAGACCAGCCCTGCCACTGGGACCAGTGCTTGGAAACCCAGCACCAGGCCCTTGCTGACACCGCCAGGCCCTGCATTACCGACCTCCCTGCCCCGCTCACTGGTCACTTTCCCAGTTGCTTGGCGTTGCACTCACAGTCGCGTGGGGACAGAGGTCGTAGGACCTTGGAGAGCAGAACCAGGCCTCCCCCTTGGTCTCGGCACCCAGACCACGCAACCTCCTGCTTGCTGATGCAACCTCCCGCAGCTGACAGGGAGAAGCCCAAACCCATGGCACGAGGATTCCTTTCAGATCCTCTCCAGGGGCCAAGGTGGAGCTGCTGGATGAGGCTGCTCGTTACCATGGTAACCCGCTAACACCTCTCCTGCTGGGCTTTCTGGGGACACTGCTGGTCCAGAAGCCTCGAGGCTGCAGTGTGTGTGGACGGCGGGCCCTTGGGGGGTCCAGCTACAGACCACCAACTGGGCTTGTCCTCAGGGCTGCTGAGGTACATCCCTGCCAGGCCCTGTGGGGATCCCCACCCCAACTCCCGCAGCCTGCAGCCCTAGAACTGTTGCTCTGAACCTTCATCCCTCCGCCCCCACCTTCAGCATCCCTGGGCCTGTGACCTCGGGACGGGGGACTGGCTCATACTCTGTGACTGCCCTGCCAGCACATCCCAAGCAGATGCCGGGAGCAGGGAAAGCCACCTGCATTCTGCTCAGAGGTGTCATTGGAGGGCGGGGGGTCCCTTTCCCAGCATTCTGTCCGCTCCATCTGGCTTCCCACAATCCTCACAGCCCCTGGACTGGGGCCCAAACCAGAGCACGGCCCTGGGAGTCCGTCTCTACCCGTAACCCCCAAGCCACCACAGGGACCGAGGCTGGGGGCGGGGGTGAGAGGGGGCAGTGCAGGCTCTCCTTGCCCAGGTCTACCCCCTTGGTCAGTGTGATCTGAGGTGAGTCTGGGGCTCTCTCTACAGGACACCAGCCTCCCCAAGCTTATGGAGGTCAGGTGCCATCAGGCTGGTTTTTGGCTCTGAGTCGGGAGGTTTTGGGGGGTCGGTACCCAGAACACGGGTCTGAGGCAGAACAAGGACGGGGGTGCCGAGCGCAGGCTGCCCACCCGGCTGACCACAGTCTTCCTTCTTTTGAGGTGCTGGCTGACACCGGATCTGGGGATTCGGGGAGTGGGGGAAGGCTGGGCATTGTCAGTAGTGGAGTCTTAGCCTGAGACAGAAGATTTTTAAAGGCAAAATTATATTTCTGGTTTGTTGTTTCAGATGACCAATAAAGACTGTATTTTCCTACATGCCTCCTGGTTTCCTTGGGTGGGAGGTGAGCCTGGAACTGGGAGCTGGGACAGTGTCCCCAGGCAGGGGCATGGGGTGTCCCCAGTCCCCTAAGGTGGATGGAAACTCCCACCCGAGGCCTGGCTTTGGGGCACCCCTGGAAGGGCAGTGGGGGAGCACAGAGACCCAGGTCTGCATCAGCCCTCCCGTGAGCCTGGCCACCTTGCAGTTGAGGGCTGACACTCTGGTGTAGGAGGTGCACCTATGCCCCAGGGACCCTGCTGTGTGATGGAAGAGGGGCTCCCCAAGGGCACTTTAGGGGACCAGGTTTCACCAGCCCTAGGGGAGGTCTCTGGGGTTGCAGGAGGTGCCCCGTTTAACGTCCTGTGCTTTTAAGACTGACTCCAGGGACAGGCCGACAGGACGTGGGGCTCACACAGACGACCTCTCCTAAGGGTTCAGCAGGTACAGGATCAGAATTATGGACTGGAGACCTGGGGATAGTGGCCAGGAGAGGAGGTGGGCAGGAGGACAAGAAGGCCTCTGGGTGGGTCGTCCACCTGATGCCCGAGTGACCCACCTTACCTGACTGGCCTCTGGCTGACTGGGCCTGGGCTACACAGGTCACAGTCTTCAGACCAAGATGGACTTCTCTCCTAACTGGGAGCCCTCCATTGGATCACCGCGCCCCTGCAATTCCCCAGCCCAGTGAGACAGGAGCAAACCCTAGGGAGAAGAGAACTAGTAGGCCCCTGTTCCAGGAATTTAGCTGGACCCCTTCTGGGGAGGGGGTAACTGGGGGGAAGTCCTAGCTGGACCCCTTCCTGGGTGGGGTGTAACTGGGGGAGGACAGAGCTGGACCTCTGCCTGGGTTGGGATAACCAGAGGGCGGTGTCCCCCTGTAACCCTGACGGGTACAGCAGAGCTGGGAGACCAATGCTTGTGGGGGCAGAGGACAGGTCCCCACAGCCTGCACAGGTGTGGGTAACACACAGGTGCGCTGTTCTGGGCACATGAGGTCTCAAGCCCTGCCGGGCTCATGCAGGCGCAGATCTAGACAGAGATCCTCCGACCATAGCCGCTGTGCTGGGGACACAGCTGCAGATGATGGCAGCCACACATGATGCTCTCGATATTCCCCAAGCAGGCCTGGCACTCACAGAGACTTGATAGTGGGTCCTGATCAGAATGATACATTCCTAGAAATTTTGCATAAACTCTTGAGAAGCAGCTGCTTAGCGGTCAAAGGATCCCTCCTCGTCCACCTGCCTGGCCCTTGGCTGGCCTTGAGGCTGTCCTTCCTCCTCCTCCCCTGCACAGAAGTGGGGCGTGCGGCTGCCTATGAGCGTGTGTACACTCACATGTACACAAGAGAAGGAACCACCAGGACAGGACTCAAGGGGTCAGGGAGGCTGAACCACAGGCCAGGAAGAGGAAGTTACAAAAGGAGACTGAAAGAAACATAATCGAAGGAGAAAGGTCTCCAGCGCCCCAGCCCTGTCCTATCGCATCCGTGCCCTCCCTCCTCGGGAGCGTCAGAGCGATTGTCTGCAGCGAGTTAAACCACAGGCACCCGGACACGGTTTCCATGGCAACCCCTCCCGGCTCTAATTCAGCACTGAGTTAAAAATGATATCAAATAATTGGAGGGAGCAGGAGAGCACAGCCAGCAGCCTGACCCCCCATGCCTTCCCTTCACTGGGCGTTCAGGTGTGCGGGAGCCGAGATGACCACGTCATAACTGGTCAGGGGGGCAGGTGGGCCACAGACTCAGCCGGGGCCCCGGGATGGTCTCTAGGGCCTGGGATCAGCAGCCCAGGTGAAGGACAGAAAGGGACAGAGCAAGTTCCTCCTGAATGCCCTGCTGCACAGCCTCAGGACACCTGTGACCCACGTATTTGTGAACGAGGGTGCCAAGCAACCAGACCCAGCCACTCGCTCCTGCTTCATCCAGACGTGGGTGGCAGTGTGCCCTCGCTGGGGTGGGCAGTCTGCCTGCCTGGTGGCTCCTGCCTGCGCTTCACCCTGCACCCAGCCTGGGGAGAAGATGCAAGGGTCCCGAGCTCCAGTGCTGGCCCCCAACAGCTGCGGAGTCCCCCATAAGGCAGGTGCCCAACCCCAGCACTCAGTGGTGAGACCCCAAGGACCTGGCAAGTCTGAGCCTTGGAGGTTGGATGCAGGACCCTCATCACACAGGCTTCAAGGCTCTTGGACAACGGTCAAAGGAGCCAAGGACCTTCCTAGGCTCCAAGAAGCTGGGGCGGCCCAGGAATCTCCCTGGGTCCTCTTGCGGATTTTGTCGCCAATTGCAACACAGGGTTGTGATCCCACACCTTCAAGAGGTGATCTGAGTTCAAATTCTAGTTCATTAACTATTAGCCTTGAGGCTTTGGGCAAATGATGTTTCTGAGTCTCAGTTTCCTCATCTGTAAAATGGAGCCAAACCAGATCACCCCAGGGCTGGATGAGAAGGGGCTTGGCGACACTGGACTTGCCTAGGGGCTTGGGCTTCAGGGTCCGAGTCATAAGCCCCCTCTTCCCTTTGGTGGACAGTGGGGGAGGGGAACAGCATGCAGAGGGTGGGAAGGAGGTCTGGGTGGTCTCTGTCCTGGGTGACCTTCAGCAGATCTCTTCACCTCTCTGGGCTTCATTTTATGCATGAATACTGTTAGATCTGAGGCGTTACGGTTTTATAAACAAAATGACTGAGGAAGACTCTCCTCACTCCCTGGCCCCACATTTTATTTGTACAGACTGTGGCCTTGCAGACCACACGCAGGGCCTCCTGCAACACCTGAGCCTTGCTCTCAACCCTGTCTCCCCGCCGCCCGGCCTTGCGGCCCTGGGGCAGCCCCTACCTGCAGCGATGGCCGTCCTGTTGTCCACACTCACGGCTACAGCTGTGCTCACCGTCACCACCACAGGCTTGCCGGGACTTTCTGGGGGGAGAAATTGCCAAGTCACATTTTCAACACCTGAGGAGGAGCTGAGGGTGGGGTGGGCAGGGGAGCCCGGTAAACACCATGTTCCCCAAGAGAATGGGCGATTTCCAGGGGGCTGCCTGGTACTACGCAACTCTGTTTTTGTCAAGTGTCTCCTATATGTGCTCTAAAGGCGGGGTGCCGCCCACCTCTCTGTGCAGCTCTGAAGCTGCCAGGTGGTCCCTGCCCCTCTGAACAGTGTAGCATCGCCAAGTTCCCAACTGCAGACTGGCCTGCTTGCAGCTGCCCGCTGGAGCTCAGGGACCCCACTGGAGCCCACCCAGGGACTCTTGTGGCATCTCGGTGCCCTATTGAGTGGGAGATGGAGTGTGTTCCCCGACAAGGTGCTGGCTGACCCTGGGTTGTCCTTCATCAGTCACGTGAGTCAAGGTGACAATGACAACCACTTTGGGAAGCCAGATGCCAGGGCTGCATGGGGCCTAGAAGGCCGGCTGGGGTCTGACACATCCACGGAGCCCCCATAAACCCTGGGGGCCTCCACGTCACTGCCCGCCTAGCAGCTGTGCTCTGGGGACTTGGCCAGGCTCCGGGGCCCACCTGGAGGTGCCGCCTCAGCTCCGAAGAGAGCCAGGTTGCTAGGCGCGGCACCAGCTCGAGCTCTGCATCTGCACAGAGCTTCCGCACTGAGGGATGTGGACAAGCGCACCCGTGGCTCCTGGGCTTCATGTCCCTGGACCTGCTCTTCAGGGCGCTCTAGTCCACGGGGTCAAGTTCCTCACTAAAATCCTCAAGAATGAGGTACGGTTTTATCACGTGCTCTCCTGTTAGAATGTCTTTCATCAGACACTGCTTGAAACAAATAGGTCATGAGACTCCTAGTGTCAGCCATGAGGAAATTTAAATCAACCACTGGTTTCTCCTATTTGCTGTTTCCATGCCAGCACCACCCATCACACCTTGCTGGGACCAAATATCTCAACCGAAACGGAAAATAACTCTGATTCTAGGAACTGACTCTATGGAATGTTGTCATGGGGTCTAGGAATTTGCTATGATGAAGACACAAGGGAACACATGTTTCTGTATGGGTGGCCCTTTCTCTCCCTCCCTTTCTCTAAAACGGAAGCCAGCTTCCCTTGCTTGCTTCTAGAAATGTCTGGAGGATACTGATAGGGTGACCCCCGTCGTGTCCCCCGGCCGCAATCTGCTTCCAGGATAGACTCACTGTATGTTCTCCACGGGCTTGGAAGGGGACACCTGTGTGAGGGGTGGGGCCCTGATGACATGGTCTCTGGGGATGTTGAGGGTCTTAGCACCTGGGTCATCGGGCAGCTACCCGGCCCCACACCTGGCTGCATGAGCCAGCTACCAGGGGGTGGAGACAGGGCCTGGGGCTGGCCCCAGGAGGGGGGCTGTGGGTATGGAGGCCACAGGCCTGAACCGCCAGGGCTCTGGCGAGCCCCTGCTCCGTGCTGGCAGTCTTAGCACCAACCGCAAGAGACAGCTCAGCTCGGGCCGGGCTTGCTCCAGGGCCAGGCGGAGGGCTGAGAGTCAGCCTGGGGAGGCGGGTCCCCTCACCCTACAGCTGAACCCCTCCCACCTCCTCGGGGTCACCCATTAAACCAGTTGTTTCCTCTCTCTGCGGTGGGGGGTGGGGAATGTATGCGGGTCCCCTTGCTGGTCCCCAACTCTCCCTCCTTGCCTTGCACTCAGCTCTGCCCACTGCCCTCCTGCCCACCACCCCCCTCTCTTCAAAGCTACCAGCAGGCTCATTCTGGTGACAGTGTGGGCAGGAGGGAGCCTGTCATCCTGGGGGGGCAGGGTGTCACCCCAGAACCTCTGAGGACCTCATGGACCTCCTAGACATATGGGGAGGAGGAGGTGCCCCTGAGGCTTGGGCTCCATGGGGAAAGGGTTTCTCGTGGGCGCATGCTGGGGTCACAGCCTCCCTCCTCCGCACCACCGCCTTACGCGCAGTGAAGTGTGGTGAGAGCCTGGCCCTGTGCCCCGCTCCCCCCAACGGTGTGGCACTGGTGAGCCTCAGACTCTCCCTGAGCAAGAAGAGAGCAGGCACACCAGACGAGCTACGTGTGGATAAGCGTTCAGTGACACGATCGGAGGTTGGACCGGAAGGCATCTGCAGGGCGGCCGTGGGAGGGGCCTGGGCCTCCCCAGCCCTCAGCTCAGTGGGGGGCGGCTTTCGCTGGGCTGCCTGAGGGTGGTTGTGGTGGCGCTGGTGGACAGGCACCTTGGAGGGAGGACAAGCCTCCACCCCAAGTTGACGCCCAGCCGCCCTCCTCTCCTTTCCTCCACTCCTGTCCCCTCAGCTCACTCGGCCTGATGGACGTGGATGCTTCCAGGCCCTCTCGCTCACTGTGCAGGGTCAGAGCCCCAGGGGGGACTCGTGGACCCTCTCTGGACCACAGGCTCTTCAAGTGTGAATCGGGAGAGTGATGTTTTGTGTTTCTGGGGTCCAGGCTGTCCTGAACATTTTGCGGCTTGCTTGGGGCTCTGTTGAAGCTGCTTGGCTGCTTTTCTGGGCCATCTCTTGCAGTGGGGGCTGGGTTAGGGGTTGGGGGCTGCAGCTCTGAACGCACCGCTGCAGCCCTTGGACTAGCAGGCCTGTGTTGTCTAGGGCCTGAGGCCCATTCACCACCCTCCTCAGGCCCTTCAGCCCTCGATGACCTGGCAGCCGGGAGGCACCGTGTTATTACCAGGAGTGGCCAGGGGGCTGGCCAGGTCTCAGGGTTGCCCTCCTGGGAGATGCCAACAGTCCAGACCTCTCATCCCCACTGTGGAATAAAGTCTATTCCTGCTCATTCATGGTATGAGCATCTGTCAGAGACACTCAGAGGTTTAGAAATAGAAAATTCTTAGAGGCCAACTGTCCCAATAGCCTCTTATGCAGAATCTGGGCTGGAATCCAGCACTCTGACTTTTGGGTCAAACCTCTCTCCTTTGTTCTAGCTGAACTTTTAAATGGTATTGTTGACTGATGACCAGGGAATGAAATGACCTTCCCTGGGTGCAGGTGAAGGCCAGTGGGGAGTGGACCCCGAGGTCTGGATGGTTGTCTTGTATTCCTGGGGGGAGGGGGGATGCCCAGGCCGTGGAGCTCTGGGAGTGGCTTACCTGGTCCTTCTGCTGAGCGGAGGTTGAAGACCATGCTGCCGGGAGGATGCTCGGCGGCCTGGCGGTACCACAGAGGGAAGTGGTCCAGGGTGAACATGCTGTCCTCATCTGCCGGAGTCAGGAACTTCCTGCAAGGACAAAGACCTGGCACATCCCCTAGATCTGGGAGCACGGTCTTCCCTGTCTTTTTGTTCTTACAAGGTCACCGTGGCCGGGCCAGGGGAATGACTCCCCTCTGCCTTGGCGGAGGTGTAGGCAGGAAAGATTAACCCCTGAGTGGGCATTGTCCCAGAAGACGCTCCCTGGCAATTCCTGCCTTTTCCAGAATCAGATGCTGGTGCATCAGCAGGCACACTGTAGGAAGAGCGGGGGTTCTGCCTAATGAAAGACCTTCATCTTCCTGTAACTCTTTGTGTTTCTTCTGGATAGATACCCTAATTCTTCTGTTGGGCTAATTAGCGTGTCTGCGGGAGGAAACTGTATAGTCACAGAGGGGCATACGCGTGCGTGCTCAGTCGTGTCTGATTCTGCTCTTTACGACACGCTGGCGGGCTGGTCCTAGGTGGGCTGGGATTCTCCCGGAATTCAGGCTTTGCCAGGAGTGGGGCTCCTCAGACTCAGCACCGTGGACGTTTGGGGCAGACACCGTCGCGGGCCGCCCCCTGCACTGTGGGTGCACAGCCGCAGCCCTGGTCGCTAACCCACTGGATGCTGGTAGCAAGCCCCTCTCCCCCAGCTGTGACAACCCCCAGTGTCTCTGGACATTGCCCGGTGAACCTGGGGTAGGAGTGGGAGGCAGAATTGTGGGCTCAGGGCAGGGGGAATGTTGTCAACAAGGATGGCACGGCCAGATTCAGCCGGTCACTCAGAGACCCATCCCAGTGGGGGCCCATGTCTGTCTTGGGGTGACTGTCTCCCTCCTCTGCTGGGGACCTGTCCAGGATGGTCTGAGCCTGGGTGGCAGGCGGGCTTCTCTGGTTCCCCAGTCTGTAGGTCCCAACCCTTTTTCCCCCCGCACTCGTGGAGTCCAGCGTCAGTCTGCTCACTAACTGCAGCAACACCCCAGGGACTCTTCTCCCGGTGCCCAGCGGCACTCACTTGTCGGAGACCTTCTCGGAGCCCACAAACAGGCTGCTTCTGAGGAGGCCGGCCCGGGTGCCCAGGAAGGCCATGTCCACCACTTGCTCGGACTCACTGTGGGCAGACAAAGCAGGAGTCATCACGCTGGGCCAGGGCGGGTGCCAGGGAGGACCCACAGGCCCCTCCTAGAGCCAGGCCCTGCGGCTGGTCTCTCAGGGGCTGCCGGGCACCGGCTTTTGCTGTTGTGAGATCCCTGAGCAGCACCGGCCCTTGCTTGGGGTCCCCTGGGCCTCTGCCCACTGCGTGTACTCAGCTTTGGGGCGGCGGTTGGCTCTGGCAGACAGAAAGAACCCAGGAAGAGAGGTTTTAGCCCCAGGACATAAGGAAAGTAACTCCTCATACCCAGAACACGCTCGGCACCATGTCCCGTGAAGCCGGTTTCATATATCTGCCTTATTCCTGAGATTGGGAAGGAGCAGACTTCCACGTCTACCCAGAGAAATCCGGGCAGAGCAACAAGATCCAGCCCGCGGACTGGAGGGCCCTGAGCCTTCTCACAGGCCCAGAGCGGCCCTAGGGGGACCATGCCACACAGGAGGTCGTCACCTTTTAAAAAATTTCAGCTGTTTTTTAAAAATTTACCTTTTATTTTTTGGCCACACTGTGCAGCACGTGGGATCCTAGATTGACAAGCGTTCGAACCCATGTTCCCTGCATTGGAAGTGCTTAGCGACTGGACCGCCAGGGAAGTACCAGGTTTCAGCTTTACTGATGCATAACTGATATAAAATTGTAAGGTAGTTTAAGCATGTATCATGGTGATTTGATATATGTATCTATTGTGAAAGGATTCCCTCCATTGTGTGTGCATATGTGTGTGTATGTGTGTGTGTGCGTGTGTGAACATTTACGTTCCACTTTCTTAGCTCATGTTAGTTACAAAACCCAGTGTTCTGAATAGAATCACCACCCTTAGTCCTTACTCATCTTACAGCTGAAGGTCTGTGCCCTTCCCCACCGTCTCCTCCCCCACCGTCCCTCCAGCCTGCAGCAATTACCTTTTCACTGTTTCTGAGTTAGTTACCTTTTTAAAAAAGATTCCATGTGTAAGTGATACTACACAGTATTCGTGTGTCTCTGTCTGGCTTATTTCATTTAATATAATGCCCTCTGGGTTCATCCATGCCATTGCAAATGGCAAAATTTCCTTCTTCTTAAAGGCCGAGTAACAGTCCATTGAGTACATACACCACATCTCCTCTTGATCCGTTCAACCTGATCCTCAGGTTGTTTCCATGTCTTGGCTGCTGTGAACAGGAGCATGTAGACATCTCTTCAGTAGTCTGTCTTTGTTTCCTTTGGATAAACACCCATAAGCGGGATTTCTGGATCATGTGATAGTGCTGTTTAAATTTTTGGAGGAAGCTTCACATTATTTTCCACAGTGGCAAAATCAGTTTACATTCCTACTAACTGTGCACAATGGTTTCCTTTTCTCTACATCCTCACAAACACTTGTTATTACTTGTCTGTTTTATAATAGCCATCTTCCAAAGACGTTTGAGTTTTTTTTTCCAGTATTACAGTGAACCCAGGACTTTAACGTGTTTACTGTGCTCTGATCCACAGCTGTTGTTATCACATCTGCTGCCTCTCATCTGGTGAGTCCACCATGCTGTCCGACTGCCCCTTGTCTGGCCGGTGAGAGCCTCTTCAGTTTGTCCCCAATGTCCTGTTAGCACAACCTCCTTAGTCTTTACTGACTTGCACTTGGGATGACGAGATGCTCCCGGCTCATTCTGCCCACCCCCTGCCCCGGTCCTGGAAGCAGACACTTCTCCAGGGGTCACTGGCTCATTTCAGTGAGGGCTTCTTAGAGTGGACATTGAAACTCCACATGGTTGGGTCTGGGGCGCTCATTGAGGTTGGTCCTTTCAGTGGACAAGGATCTCCTCTTTGTTTCTTTCAGGGAAAATACATTGTGAGTTCATTGATATTTCAAATCCATATTTAGTGTTCCATCTAAACTTCTTTGATTTAAAAAATATGCACCGTGGGGCTTCCCTGATGGTCCAGTGGTTAAGACTTCATCTTCCAGTGCAGGGGCTGCAGGTTTGATCTCTAGTCAGAGAGCTAAGATCCTACATGCCTCGAGGCCAAAAAAACAAAACACAAAAAACAGAAGCAATATTGTAACAAATTCAATAAAGACTTTAAAAAGGGTCCACATCGAAAAAAGCTTAAAAAATGCTTGTGCCTCTTTTCTCATATACTAAAAATCTTGTTCCTGACGACATTAGCGACACTATTTGCTCTGTCTATACATGTAGTTTGAAATAACGGTGTCAATAAATGTAGTTTCTAGAAATGTGCTTAATGGAAAACAGTTTTTAAGATTTTCATTTTATTGAGTGTTTACAGTTCCGTGTTTTCAAGTCCCTTGACAGAAGTCCCTGCTGTGTGGTTATTGATTCATAAGCAGGTTTGTTTCACTTGCTTTCAAATTTTCAGAGTTTATATTTTAAATTTAATTTCATTTTATAGTGACATGATTTACACAGTCCCAGAGTCAAATATGCAAAGTAAGACACGTTCAGAAGAATCTGTTTCTGTCTCCATTCCACTGTTCCTTCATTCTTATTAGTAAGCTTTTTGCTTGCTTGTTAATTGTTCCATTAGAAGTATGTAAGCATATATATGTAAGCACACGCACGTGCATGTTTCTATATGGAGTTCAATGTAATCCCACTTGTTGGTTTTTGCTTTTGCTGTGCTTGCCTGTGAAGACAGATCTAGAAAGATCGCTTCAGGACTGATGTCTGGGCTTCCCTGGTGACTCAGTGGTAAAGAATCTGCCTTCCAGTCCAGGAGACATGGGTTCGATTCCCGATCCAGGAAGTTTCCACACACTGTGGGGCAGCTAAGCCTGTGCTCGACGGCTGCTGAGCCTGTGCTCTAGAGTTTGGGAGCCGCAATTACTAAGCCTGAGCACCCTAGAGCTCTACAACAGAGGGGCCAGCACCACGAGAAGCCCCGAGTGCCACAAATAGAGAGCAGCCCTCTCTCTCTGCGACCAGAGAAAAAGCCCACGCAGCAGCGAAGACCCAGTTTATCCAAAAATAAATAAATAAACACCATTATTATTGTTTTCTTAAAGGCTGATGTCAAGAAGCACACTGCCTATGCTTTCTTCCAGGAGTTTTATGGTTCCAGGTCTTATATTTAAGTCTTTAAGGCATTCTAAGTTAATTTTTGTTTATGGTGTGAGACAGTGGTCTATCATTTCTTTTCTTTTCTTTCTTTCTTTTTTTTGTGTGTGGCTGTCTGGTTTTCCCGACACCATTTGTTAAAGAGACTATCCTTTCTCCAGGGTATATTATTTGCTCCTTTGTCAAGTTGGAGTTATCCACATATTTCTGGGCTCTCAGTTTCATTCCATTGATCCATGTCTGTTTTTCTGCCAATACCACGCTCTTTTGATTACCCCAGGTCATCTTTCCTGACGCACTCCCTCGTCAAGAATATTTGCTCCTCAATGTCCCCCCGACATTAAAAACATCAGCTAATTTCTGAACTTGGAAACATAAAGACTGTGCCTCTTCTCACCAAACCCAGTGACCACCTCCCCCCCGCCCCCACCCATGGTAGAAGGCAGGACAGTACAGGGTGCCAATAGTCCAGACTCTGATAACAGGCTGCCTAGTTTTGACTCTGGCTCTGCCACTAATGAGGCAAATGACCTTGGGCAAGTTGCTTATCTCACTCAGCCTTGGCTTCCTCATCTGTAAAATGGGGATAATGATAGGATCTATTTTGTCAGGTTGTTGTGAGGATCAAATGGTTTCATGTACAGTAAGTACTTGGAACAGTGCTGGCCCACCGTATTCTTCATTCTTTAGTTTCATTTAATTTTGAATAGGCCACACAGGGCTTCCCAGGTGGCTCAGATGGTAAAGAATCTGCCTGCCAGTGCAGGAGGTGGGGGCTCAATCCCCAGCTCAGGAAGATCTCCTGGAGGAGGGCGTGGCAACTCACTCCAGTATTCTTGTCTAAAGAACCCCAAGGACAGAGGAGCCTGGTGGGCTACAGTCCATGGGGTTGCACAGGAGGACGCAGCTGAGGGACTGAGCACGCACACACATTCACATGGGCTCAGCACGGTACCAAAAATTATATAGAGAAAACCTCTCTGTCCTGGGGTCAGTTGTCTGTGCTTTTACCTGGAGCAGCCAGTCCTACACAGTCTTCCATAGATTTATATATGTACACATACCCCCTCCCTATTATGTTTCTGCCCCTTTAACAGAAACGGGAGCATATCACCATGCACTGTTACACGTCTTGCTTTTTTAATTAAGTGCTTGTTCCTGTAAGATTCTGTTGGTGTTTTCAAGAGGAAGCACTGATTATTAAATGTCTAGGAGAGGTCTGACATCGCTGGGATGTGGATGTTGACTCTTACTGTTCAAGAACGGGTGTGGTCCCTGCGTCCTTCAGCTCAGCAGTGCCTAACCCCCTCCTGGTACTTATGTATGCACTCACACACTCACATCTGTCTCTTCTTTCCACATTCCCGTGAGACACCAGCACCCCAGGTGAAGAGCAGAGGGAGAGAGGACTCACCAAGGTCATGTTTGTACCACACGCAGCCTTGACCTCACCTGCTGGAAACGGGGCCCCAAGGGCTTGAGCTGCACTGTCTGGGGGCACTTTGGCTGATGCCCACCCCCCAACCCTACCCCCACCAGTTGGAGCCTGGCACCAAGGGAGGGGTTCTGGGAACTGGGCTACAGGGTATGATGTGGGTGTTTTCTCGGTGGAAGCTCTGCCAAGTCCCTGCTGTCCTGGGAGGCTGTGAGGGTCGCAGTCTTCCCACATCTATGAGTGTGATCCTCCACTTCTTTCCACCCTCCCCTCTTCTTAGGCCAAAGGACCTGGGTGGTCTCCTGAGCTGCCCACCAGGTTGTGGGAGGCCCTGCCTTGACCCAGGGACCCTGGGGGTGGGACCCTAGCCGCACCAGGACCTACTCAGAGCTGTTGAGGGCCAGCGCCGTCCAGTACGCCTCCATGGGGGCTGTGACCACCGCGTCAAACAGCGCCTCCTGCAGCAGCTCCTCGTCACCTGGGGCAAAGTCCAGAGACCACCCGCTTACTCCCCCACGATCATGTGGGCTCAGCTTCCACCCTCTGCCCAGGAGCCCTGACCCACAGGGCCTAGAGGTGCCTCAGAGAAGTTCTGGAACACTCAGAGCCCCTGCTCTCTGCTGGAGGAGGTCGTCTCCAGAGGCCGGGAGGCTGTGTCCTCTGCTCCAGTGTGTGGGCACAACTCACTGATTCCCAGACCTCTCCCACTCTCAGGCTCCGTGAAGTCAGGAGGCCTGCCTGCCAGCCACCCCTGCCTCCCTCTCCCCAGGAACTGGCCTCCGGGCCTCTGCATACCCTGGTCTGATTGTTTCTGCCCTGTCTCTGCCTGGGTGGCCCTTTCTTTCCCTCCCTTTCTCTAAAATGTTTATTGATGTTTATTGAGGTGAAATCCACACAACGGATACCCTACAGATGGCATGCAACCTGGCATTTACACTTGCACAGAGACCGGCAGCTCCTCTCCACAACACCCAGTTCTCATGGCCCCGAAGGAGAGCCATGAGGCGGGTCCTTTTACCCTCAGCTTGAGTGACGCCCCTGATGAGGGCCCCCCTTCCTCACACAATACCTACTTACGGCCTCATCACCCCTGCAATGACTAGCCTGCCTCAACTCAAGTGCTGGTCCCATCACCTGGCTTCTCCCCCAACCACAGACTTCGTAATTGCACGGCCTGGTCTGTGGTCATCAGAAGCTTCACTGATGAACAGCACCACCCCCACCCACCTGGCTGGCTGGAGAACGTGTCTGGCACAGACTTGTGGGTGGAATGAATGAATCAATGAGGCCTTGTTGGGATGGCACGGGAAGTGGTGACTTCTCCCGGCGGGACACTGATGTGGCAGGATGATCCGTACCTCTTTCCGAAGACGAAGAGGTGGGACCCCGTGGAGGGTGGCCCCGCATTCGTGCAGGGACTTGGGGTTACCTGGACACAGCTAAGGGAACACTCACGGATCACAGGCTGCAAGAGATGAGGCCTTGAGGGAGCCTCACCTTGCCTGCTGGCTGGGGAGCGGGGGCGGGGGGCCCTACTTGGTGACAGGGACAGATCTGATGGGCAGGCCAGTGCCCGTTACTGTGGGCCCTTAACAGTGCCCGGGGGACAGAGGCTTAAAGGGATCCTAGTCCCTGCCGTGGGGACACAACCGTGCCCTTGCAGGTCTCAGAGCCCTTGTCACTGGTGTGGCCCTGGGGGGCTGGCTGTGTCCTCTCCTTCGAGGGGGTCTCTCTGGTCTCCCTGAGCCATCTGTGAGCTCTGCTAGCATGGTACTCCAGCCCCCACCCAGCCCTCCATCCCCACGGAGTCCTGAGCTCGGGACAAGGGACAAGGGACACTCACACTCCAGGGCGGGGTCCTCCTGGGTCAGGAAGCGCACCACAGCCTCCAGCTGGCTCAGCTTGCGGTGCTCTGGGTCGATATCCGTGATGCAATAGATCCTGGAAACCCAGCAGAGCCCGTTACCCCGAGTCCCCGTTGCCCCCCATCCCCGCTCTGCACCACGCCAGCCCCCAGGTCCTCACCAGTCGCCAGCCAGGCTCAGGTCTGGGTGAAGCAGGTCGTGCAGGCCTGAAAGCAGAGTCTGCATTTGGTCCGGGGCTCATGGACCTGGCACTCTAGAAGCAGCGTCAGGGGCAGGGGGGGTCAGCTGCATCCAGCCGGGTTCTCGGGCAGAGGTGGGCTCCGCATGGAGCCCGATGGTGTCATGGTCATGTTGCTCCCTAAATGCCTTCCATCCCAACACCTCCTGTCCGCACCCTGCCCCTTCGGATTGCCCTCGAGGAAGCCTCAGTTTGCCTGGCTTCATCATGCCCAGCTGAGCCCGGGGCCGTGCGTGTCCAGGGCCACACCCTCAGCACACGGGCCGCACCGGGACACACAGGCCCCTCTGTCTGCACGGTCCAGCCCACAGAGCCCCGCCTGGGCTGGCCCTGCTCTGTGTCCCCGGAGAACCTAGTTTTCCTCAGAACTGAGCAGGGGTCCTGGGCACTGGCCGACCCACCTTCTTCCACTGACGTGTTCCCCAGGAGGATGTATTCTCCGTGACCTCGGGACAGCACCACCCCCAAACTGCAGGCAGAGCAGAGGACACAGGCTAGAGGTCAGCTGGGGCCCGGTCTGGGACCCCCAACCTCGGATCCTCTGAGCACACAGCCTACGACAGTGAGTACTCCCAGCCCCAGGCTGTCAGTGCCTCCCTCCCTGAACCCTGGCAAAGACTTCTGCTTTGTCATCAGCCTCTTTCCTGAGAAGGACCTGGACAAGAGAGGGGAAGGCCCCCTCCGCTCCCGTTCTGTTGGATTCACCCTGGACCTCCATGCTCTGAGGATGGAGAAGGGTCTCAGGGTCCCACATGTCCCGTGATCAGGGAGGCCCCTCCCACCTGGAGAATCCCACCTCACCTACCTCTCCCTCCTGGAAGATCATCTTTTGAGGCTTGGCTGATACCTGAACCACCTAGGGGGTTTATAGGGTCCTAGCGCCTGGGCCCCACCCCAGGAATCCCAAGTAATGAAGGAAGGACCTGGACACAATGTCACAAGTTCCTGTAGGCACCCCAGGGACCAGTCAGGACTGGGGACCACCCTTCGTGGAGCGATGGGGAATTCAGAGAGAAGGGGCCTTTATTCTTTGCACTGTATAATGCTAGAGCTGAACATTTATATGATGGGAGGGAAACTGAAAGACATTCAAGGCTTACCTTTCATCTTACAACTACTTACACTTGCACTGCTTTAAGACCTCCAGTTAGATAATGATATTTATTAATAATTCTCTCAGTACTGCAGAGAAGCAGCTACTATTATCACTCCCATTTTACAGATGAGATGTCTAAGGCACAGAGAGGTTAAGTAACTTGCCTAAGATCACACAGCCTGTGAGTGGCGGAGCTGGGATTCCAACTTAGTTTAGCTCCTGGCCCTGCACACTGGGCCACACTGCACACTGAATCACACAGCAAAGCGGGTGTAGATCTCAATTTTCCCAAGTGCAGACCTGGTCTTTTTCTGTTATCACAAAATTGCCAACTACTTATGAGTGAATCCCATCCCAGACCTGAAAGTCCCACCTGAGCGGTTGGCCCTCACATTGTACCCTCTCCTCGCCCCCAGATAAGATCCAGGCCCCTCACCTGAAAGGTGTGTCACTGATGTCCGTGAAGAAGTAGTCGTTGGTCAGGAAAAGAACTCGCTTCTGAAAGAGGCACCAGGGAAGCGTGCTGGCTGGGGGGGAAGTGCCAACCACCCCTCCCTCCCTCCCCATGTGCTGCCTGGTGCCTCTCCCACCCCACCCCCCCCACTTCTTATTCTGCGCCCCCCACACCCACCCAAAGGCCTTCTCCCACTGGCATACTGCAGCCCCGGGGAAGGTGTGCCTGATTGAGGGCCATAGTCCAGACTGCACTGTCCCTATGGGGCCATGAGTTACCACGTGTATCACAACTCAGGAATGGAAATTTGAAATCTCAGTTACTGTCAGTTAACAGAAATGGAAACCTAGAAAGCCTGGCTGGCTGGTGGCCCCTGCGCTGGCCAGTGGCCATGGTTCAGGTGGGACCAGCGCAGGCTGCTGGCGGGAGCTCACACTTGTACGTCCCACCAGGAACCGCCTGCCTCTGGAGTCCAGACCCCTCCAGGCCTTGCTGCCCTTCACAGCTTCTCTTTCCTTTCAAAGCTGCTATGTTGAGGTTGAGTTGAATTTGCACAAGTCAGGGCATCAGGGGGTATGCACAGTGGCTAAGATGGGCACAGGTGTCAGACAGCCCTGGTCTAAGCCCCACTGGCCACTCGTGGGCTGGTGAGCTTGGGTGAGTGATCTCATGCTTTTGGGCATCGCAGTTCCATTTGTGAAGCAGAATCGACAAGAGCATCCCCTGTGGATTGCTGGGAGGTGGTGAGGGTGTTTGTAGTGGGTGGGAAGGGCAGGGCTGACTTGGGCTCTGGAGCCCCGTAGGCTGTACCATCTGCACACACTTGGATGCCTCTGGGAAAGCTGCACACTGCACTTGGCCATGGGGCTGTTCTTATCCCCTTTGCCTTTTTTTCAGGCTTTTCTTCCGGGTTGGAAACTGGAGTAAGATGGGACGCAGAGTGAGAAGGTAGCAAAAAAGGTTTGTTTCAATAGGAAACCAGCCGTGGACCAAACCAGAAAGGACAGTTCCCAGCTTGGGCTTCGTCCTGCCTGATGCCCTCTGGCCCCCTCTGCTTCAGGCAGACCCTCTCCCAGTTGGGTGGGGGGGTCTGGGAGGCATGGGGGCAGCTGGGGGCCAGCCAGGGCATTGATGGGCTCCAAGTGGGGCTGGTTTGAGTCTGAAACTGGGGAGCATTAACAATTTTTTTCTTTCTGTCTCTTTTTTTTAATTGAAGAAAAAGTTGAAATGCACACATCTAAAGATATCATTTCAGCAGTTTTGATAAGTGTACGTTGTTGTGGGATTACCTCCCGGGGTGAGATATGGATTGTGTGCAGCCCCTGCAATCGCTCTGCCTTCTTCTGGTCAGCCCCCCACCTTCTTGGGCGAGCTCTGTTCTGACCTCCATCCCCACAGGTTAGGTTTGCTGTTTTCACAGCGCAAGCCCTTTCGTGTCCACTTTTGCTCCATGTAGCGTCCCTGAGACCCACCCGTGTTGCTGGGTGTGTCAGCGCTGTGTTCCTTCCCCTGCCGAGTACTAAGTACTTCAGGGAGGGCACACCACGGTTTACTTCCAGGTTTGCCCTCCACGGGTGGTCATCCGGGGTGTTTCCAGTTTAAGGCTGTTTTGAATAAATCTGCTGTGAACCTTCTTCTTGTGGACGTGTGTCTCATTTCTCTTGATAAGTACCAGGGAAGGAATTCCTTTGCAAAATATCCAAATTATGTTTGCCTTTATAAAACACTGCCAACCTCCCCAAATTATTTTATTATACTTCCACTAGCAATGTATGAACTGCAGTTTCTCCACATCTTTGCAATTTGGTATTATCAGTCTTTCAAATTGTAGTTATGTTAGAGGGTATGGAAGTAGTTTTAATCTGCATTTCCCTGACAACTAAAGTTGCTGGTTGGGCTTGTTTGTCATGTCTGTTTCTTCATTTCTAAAAGTTCTGCTAAAGTGTCTTGCCCACATTTTTTTTTATTACATTGTTAGACTTCTTGTTAGTAATCTGGAGAAGTTCTTTATGGTCTGGACACAGTCTATGTCTGGATTTTCATTTTCTTAATTGTGTCTCTGGATGAACAGAACTGTTTTTTGATTAAATTCAATTTTTCAAATATTTTATGTTTAATGCCTTTGGTATTTAGTCAAAGAAAACTAAATAACCTTAGGCCGTAAAGATTTTTCACCTGCTTTTTCTTCTAGAAGCCTTATAGTTCTAGCTTTTACATTGAGAGTTTTGTAACTGAGCGACATTCAAATTAATTTTTGTGTATGGTGTGAGTATATCTCAGTGACTTTTCATACATTTATTCAGTTGTTCCGGCAATATTTGTGGAAAGCACTTTCCTTTCTCCATTGATTTGCCAAGCTGTCTTTATCGAAAATATGCTGGCAACTTGTGTGTTTCATTTCTGTAGTCTCTGCTCCATGGATCCATTTGTCTATTCATATGTCAATACCACTCTGCTTGGTTACTACAGCTTTGAAGTAAGTTTTGAAATCAGGTACTGTGAATCATCCATCTCATTCAACAAAAGGAATCTGTTCTTTTTCAAGAAAGTTTTGGCCATGTTAGGTCTTCTGCATATTCATATAAATTTTGGAATCACCTTCTTCCTCTGTGTCTAGGAGAAGTCTGTTAGATTTTTTATTGGGATTCTTTTGAATCTATAGGTTAATTTGGGGGAGAATAGACATCTTAGAAGTATTAATCTTACAACCCATAAACATGGTTATACTTTCCTATTTATTTAGTTTTTTATTTGACATTCTTTCTGCAGTGTTATGTAGCTTCCAGTGTAGAGGTCATATATGTGAAATTTATTCCTATTTTATATTATTTGTGCTATGGAAATTGGAACTTAAAAGTATTTTCATTTTGCAAATGTTTCTGGCTATATATAAAAGTATAATTGATTTTTATAACAGTGACTCTGTGTTCTGTGAACTGGCTAAATTTATCTATTAGTTCCAGCAGCTGTTTTGCAAATTTGGGGGATTTTCTATGTGAACAATTATCTTGCTGTGAACAAAGATAGCTTTACCCTCTCCTTTCTAGTTTTCATGCCTTTTATTTCATTTCCTGGCCTTATTGCAAAGATAGGTCTTTGCCAGGTCCAGGGCAATGTTGAACGTAAGTGGTGAAACAGATACCCTCACCAAGTTCACACTCTTAGAAAGTGTTCAGTCATTCACCACTGAAAGTGAGCTTTTCCACACATGCCTTTTTTTTTTTTTTAAAATCAGATTAAGACGTTTCCTTCTGCTCCCAGTGAAGTTTTGTCATGTGTGTTCAGCATGCTTTGGGGTGGCCAAGTGGTGGCTTCCTCTCGTGTGTTAATGCAGTGGAATAACTTCACTCTGTGCAGCTGTATCTTACACTTGCTCACATGACAAACCCCACAACACAATGTCAACATTTTTCCTTTAAACAGCTGTCTTTTTGAGAAGTTAAAAGAACAGATGAAATCTTATCCTAACGCACGCGCTTATCGTTTCCAATGCTGCCCATTTTTCTTTGTGTCGATCTAAGTTTCCATCTGTGTCATTTTTGTTCTGCCTGAAGAATTTCCTTAAGTATTTCTCTTAGGGATGAACTCTGATCTTCTCTATCTGAAACTGTCTTTATTTCACCTCTTTTTGAGATGGGAGCACCCCGACACCTGTGAGTGGGAGTCTGGTTGAGATAAGGGTGGAGGTGTCTGGAAGCCACCTCTGCCTTTTCTGGTTCACGAGAAGGACCTTCTGGGCCTGGTGGGTCATCAGAGATGCTGAGCAGCCTGCCCGAAGGAGGCCCTCTCAGCCCAGAGCTTGAAAACGACAAGCAGAGGCCACAGAACTGACGCAGGTCCCAGTGAGAAACAGCCTGTACATCTAAAAGGAATGCAGAGAGTTACTTTCCTTCCCAGGGCTTCCATGCTTGGCTTCCAGGAAAGTCCGTGCCTGTGAAAGAACGTGGGTCTAATTGTTGCTGACGGATGCCCACATTCTTCCCTCGGAGGCGAAAGGGCAGCCGTGGTGGGAGGGAGGAGGTGACATTTGTAAATATGTCAAGGGACAATGCAGAGTCAGTGCCAGCCAGTGGGGCCTTTTACACAGAAAGAGGAAGCCGCCCCTTGTAAGTGACAAGCGAGTCTGTGGTGACAGGAAGGCATTGCTGGGTGGACCCGTTCCTGAAAATCAGCTCTGAGGAGCAGCAGTGATTTTCAACTTCTTCACAGATGACATGCTTTACAAGAGCTGCTAACAGTTTGCAAAATTAACTCACTTTCCCTGTTTCCAGGGGCTTCCCTGTTGTCTCAGACAGTAAAGAATCTGCGTGCAAAGCAGGAGACCTGGGTTTGATCCCTGGATTGGGAAGATCCCCTGAAGAAGGTAACGGCAACCCACTCCAATATTCTTGCCTGGAGAATTCCATGGACAGTGGAGCCCGGTAGGCTACAGTCCATAGTCCATTGCCGGACACGACTGAGCAGCTAACACCTTCCCCCTTTCCACCATAAGGAACAAAAGGGCCACATAGCAGGCAGGTAAGGCAGAAAGAGGGCTTCCCAGGTGATGCTAGTGGTAAAGAACCCACCTGCCAATGTAGGAGACATAAGAGATGCAGGTTTGACTCCTGGGTTGGGAAGATTCCCTGGAGGAGGTTGCGGCAACCCACTCCAGTATTGTCTGGGAAGGTTGCAAAGAGTCAGATACAACTGAGCAACTTAGCTCCACGCAAGGCAAAAAGAAGATCTGTGAAGGGCTGGGCTTGCTGCTGCTTCACCCCAGGTCCCTGAGAGGCAAGCCCTGGAGAGGAGTCACTCGCTGGCCAAAGCTCTGTGGGTCTGATGCCGGGGGGGCTGGGCCCCTCACTTGGGCCCTCCAGACTCCAGCAAGTTCTCCAGACTTACACTGATTCAGCCAGGTCCCTTGTCACCACCGCCAGCCTTAATTAACCAGGATGCCACATCCTGGGACCAGACCTCAGTCTTTTCCTGGAGCACTTACCCCTTTGTCCAGCGGGACTTTGACGTCCATGGAGAGAGACCCGGTCTCCCCGTTGATCATGGCTGTTCTCAGCTGCGAGGAGAAAGAAAACGAAATCAGTTGCTTGGCACACACTGGAGTGTGCTCTGAGCCTCGGCTCAGAGGTCAACCCTGGGAACACACTAGGTTTTCCCCTTTCCCCTGCGAGCAGAGCCCGGGTGGGAAAAGAGATCTGCTTCTAGGGCTCTATTCCCCTTAGCTGGAATTCTAGAATTCACCAAGATAAGGTTCCCAGTGGGCTGACGGGTGAGGGACACTGCGGCCAACCCTCCAGACACAAGTTCCTCCAGAAGGAGCTCCTGACGCCAAGGCTGGCCTACAGCCACCTGAACCCAACCTCTGTGGCTACAGACGCGAGCTCCTTCAACCTCGGAGGGAGCAGCTGTTATCTCTCTGGGGCCGTAGGGAGAACCGTCTGTTAGCAGCACCACTTCCGCTTTGAGCCTGGAAAGTCTCCGCTGAGGGAGCGGGGTGAGCTCAGCGCCTACGCGCCCCTCACCCCCGGGCCCTGCGGTCCAGCCACCCACCCTCTCCCCCTGCGCCACTCACCGTTCCGGCCTGGTCCTCCCACTCCACTTCCGAGAGGTCCACGCTGTTGTAGTTGGGCTTGGGCTTCAGTTTCTTCCCCTCTTGGTACTGAGTGGGCCGGGCGGGAGAGAGACACGAGGTTAACACAAGGCCCTGCTCAAGCCCAGCCCTTCCAGAAGGCCCGTGGGGCAGAGCCATAAACCAGAGCACCTCGGCCACTCTTCCACCCGAGGCAGAGGGGCCCTGGCCAGCATTTGTGACAGATGGTTCCCGGCCTTGGAGGGAGATCTCCTTTTACGAGGAGCTTGTCCTGGATTTGGACTCTAATTGTTAGAAAGTTCTTCTTCATCCAGAGTGGAAATCTGTCTCCCTGTGACTTTTACTACTGGACCACCAGGGATGTCCCTATTTTGGGTTCTTAAATGGAACCCATTCACTGTTTCAACTGTTTCTATAAACTACCCCCAAATCTGGGTATGGTGGCTCAGATGGTAAAGGAGCTGCCCAGAATGTGGAAGACCCGGGTTCAACCCTGAGTCAGGAAGATCCCCTGGAGGAGGGCATGGCTACCCACTCCAGTATTCTTGCCTGGAGAATCCCATGGACAGAGGAGCCTGGCGGGCTACAGTGCATGTGGTTGCAGAGAGTCGGACATGACTGAACACACAGACATGAACTACCCCCAAATCCCATACGGTTAAGACCCCAAGGCAAAAAAAAAAAAAAAAAGATCCTAAGGCAAATAGGGTTGGCACCTACCAGGGGTCGGAGGTCAGGATGCGAGAGGATGTAGCCATTGTTGGTGTTCAGAAAGGCATAGCCGTGTACCCCAAGCTGGTGAGACAGGGATTGAGGGGATATCAGGGGGCCTTTGTGCAGGAAGACTGGGACTGGGCAGGGAGGAGGACCAGGATGGGGAGAAGTGCCGGAGACCACAGAGCAGGAAGCAGCTGCTGTGGCCAAGGATCCCAGGGGCCCCAGCCTCCGTCCCATCTGCTCTGAGCCTGCACATCGAGGGTGTGTATGTGTGTGTGTGTGGGGGGGGATGTCTGGGGGAGTGTCTGGGCGTGGGACAGCAAGGCAGGATGTGGGGGGTGATGTCTGGGGGCCATGCGTGGATGTGGGACAGGAAGGCAGGATGTCAGGGGTAGGGTGTCTGGGGAGGGGGCATTAGGAGGAGGAATGCAGACCCCGGCCCAGCTCTGGTCTTGGCCACACTGTCTGCAGGGAGGCTCCTGCGGGAGGCTGTGACCCCACTCAGGGACTGTGACCTCCCTTCAGGGAGACTGAAGTGGCTCCTGGGGGGCCTGTGACCCCACTCAGGAGCTGATCCAGGCTCACCTTGTACCGGGGCGCCAGCTTCATCAGCTCCCTCAGGGCCACGTCAGAGCCCACTACGCCCAAGAGGATGCCGTGGGACCGCTGGAAGGAAATGCCGGTGTCAGGGGACCCGGCTTCCCATGTGTGAGGCCAGGCTGGACCCCCGGCCCTCCCAGACCCGCAAGAGGAAGCCACTTGCACCTCAGGTGGTCCTTCCTCTGCAGTTAGAGTTTAGGCTGAGATCCTGGAATAAAAACCTAGAACTTAGCAGAAGAGGCCCTAGGAGTAACCTCACGCTGAGAAGATTACTGTCCTATATTGACATTGAAGTTGTAATATTTAAATGAAATACAGAGTTGAATGAAATATCAGCCTTCACAGCAGAGGCTGAAGTACTGGCATCTGGGGAGACCCTAATCTGGGGGTTTGGGGGCTCTGAAGCATACGGGGCCTGTAAGGAAAGTTTTTCCGGCCAGACGGAGGAGGGGAGGCTCTCGAACTCCCCCACCAGAGCCTTCACAGATAAGTCAAACCCTGCCCACACCCGCAGGGTCAGAGTGGCTGTGCTGGATGCCAGGTAGGTGACCCCTCTGGCCCAGGATCCCCAGGCAGGGTCCCACATCCAGAGCAGCTGGCCAGCACCCGGCTGGGTGAGCAGAATCACAGGGCAGCTTCTGGAAGTGAAGATCCCACCCCGCCTCTCCCAACCCAGAGATGTGAGTTCCTGGACACACACCCGCCCATGATGACCCTGTCAAGAACCCGTGTCAAGAACCCCAGGTCTAAAGATGCCGCGGCCCCAGCTCTAACCTGGGCAGCTGCTCACGAGCGGCCACTCACCGTCTCATTCTTCTTGCTAAAGACAGGCATGGCCACGGTGGTCAGCAGTGCCAGGCTCCGTGCCTGTGGGTGGAGAACTGTCAGGGAGGGTGGGCGACGGGATAGAGTCTGCCGATGGGGACCTGAGTCACCACGACTGCCCCCAAGGAGGCTTGCCTTCTCTGCATGAGGAGGAGAGTTGGCGGAAAGGGCGGAGGGGAGGGGGCTGGAGGGGGGCTGGGGCAGACACCACAGCAAGCAAAGCCCTAAGCCAGGGCGGGTCTCAGAGCCCTGAGCCCGCGGCCCTGCCCCGAGCCCAGCCCGCTGCTCACCCAGGCCTCCTGTCTCGGCCACGCCCAGGAGGCAGGCACACCTACAGGACAGGTCCATCTGTACAAGAGCCCAGGAACAAAGGCTCAGACAGCAAGAGGACATGTCAAGGGGCCACCGGGGCACAAGTTCTGGCCACTGAGATGCCAGGTTAAGTGTCCGGTAAGATTCTGCGGACGTTTCCCTTAGACGTGGGGCGTATGCCCCTCCCCTCCTCCACTGGAAGCCTGGAACGTGGCTGCCACCATTCTGAGCCCCTATAGCCACTTGCAGCAGGAGGACCCCAGGGATGGCAGGGGCGGGGGCAGCGGGAGGGGCCAGGGAGCTTGTCGTCCATGTCCATGCTTCTTGTACAGGAGAGGGAAACACACGTCCCTCCTGTGGAAGCCACCGTTCCCAGGTCTCTCTTAATCCCAACCAGACACGGGGGTCTGTGTTCGTGATGGGGTTTGAGGAGCATCAGGATGGTCCCCTTTCCCAGACATCTCATCTGACTGTCTACCTTCCAAGTCTGGTACTACATGGGAGGGACCTACAGGTGTCTCATTGGACACCAGGGTCCAAGGGAGGATGCCGGGTTAAGCTGCAGTATCTAAACCTTTGGTCAGTCCCCTTTCCTCCTGGAGTGGGTGGGAGAGGACAGGGAGGCAGGCAAGGACCATGGAGGAGGGAAAGTCTGGGGCTGAAGGCTCTGTCCATGGGGGACGGCCCCGGGTGTGGAGGTCACTCCACAATGCCTCCCCAGGAGGTGCTCTGCCCACCCCTCCCCAACCCAGGAGCCCCCGCTTGCTCCCTGGGGCCCCACCTTGCTGTCCATGTAGGCTTCGGTCCAGGTGATGTCATGGTCGTGGTTGATGACCATGGGCCGGCTAAGCACATGCAGGTATTCCATCACGTTTTCCTGGGCGTCCGCCAGTGTGGAGATCTGCGTATAGTAGCCTGGTGGGGGAAAGGGTGGCTGTGGATGCAAGGTGCACATTCCCAGCCACTGACGGCTCTTGGTTGGGAGCTGCCCTGGGTCAGGCACTGGGCGCTGCTTCTCCCGAGGCCACCCACTCCCAAGGCACCCGGAGGCCGGTGGTGCTGCAAGGACACGAAGGCCTGGCCCTGCCTGGGCTTGGGAGAACCTCCATCCCCCCCAAGATCTAGAGTTGCCCTGGGAGCAGCAGGGCCTCAACTCAGGGCACAAGGCTGCCCCTCACCCCCCGCAGGGCTGTCCTGCAGGGATGCACCCCATGGCAAACAGCTCTGTCCCGGGTCTTTTAATTTTTTATTTTATATTGGAGTCTAGTTGATTTACGTCTTCCCTGATAGCTCAGTTGGTAAAGAATCTGCCTGCAATGTGGGAGACCCCGGTTTGATTCCTGGGTCAGGAAGATCCGCTGGAAAATGGATAGCCTGTTTTAGTTTCAAATGTATAGCATTTCTCAAAATTTAATTTTTGATTTTATATTGGAACTCTTCACCGCCTGTCCCCCCACCCCCACCCCTCAGGTCTATTTGCAGAGAGCCTCTCTTTCTCTAACTACAGTCCTCCATTAGTCATGGGGAGGGGGCTGCAGCTGAGGCAAATGCCGTACAGGCTGTGACTGGTTTAGCATGTGTCTGCTCACCATCACCCACAGGACGCTCTCCCCAGCTCTGGGAACCTGGCCGTTTTTACTCCCAGGACGCCTCCTGTCTCAGACACTTTGATGCCCTTCCTCGCTCTCTGCATCTGACTCACTCCTACCACTTTTTTATGTCTCGCCTTAGACACACATCCTTCAGGAGGCCTGCCCTGACCCCCCAGATGCAGGAGGGCTGCCCCCTCACCCACACTTTGGGCAGCCTGTGCCCCTCTGCCCACAGTTCAGTTCAGATTGTCCCCTCACTGACGGCTCACATGTGTGTCTCCCTGCCCCACCTCCCCGTCCTCCGGACAGAATCAGGGCCAACCCAGCCATCCTGACCACATCCATCCGCCAGCCCACAGCAGGTGCTCGGGCATCCTGCTGGAGTCGAGGGGCCTGAGTCAGCACCATGAAGCCTGGGTATTGGGTTCTGGCCCAGAGATGCGGGCTGCTACACACAAAGCCTTATTCTAAAGAAAGCGATGGCCTGTGCTCTGAGTCTAGAGCAGAACCAAGCCCACGGGCTTCATCTGCAGCAGCAGGAATGGAGGTCAGACACCAGACAGCACTGACAATGAAATGTTGGCCCCCTTGTCTGCCTGGTTTTCCGTGTGGCAGTTTGGGTAAAGCCTCATTTGAAGAGATGGGTCTCCCTTCTGCAGACCCGAGGTCACCACCTCTGGGTGTGTCTTGGGGGGGTGTGTGTCGTGGGGTGAGAGCCCCACAGGGAGCAATTGATACCCGCCTTGATTGTCTGAGGAGGAAGGGGGTGTATGAAGTCACCTCCACTTTGAGTTTTGCAGCGGAGCCTTGGCTCAGCATCTGTGCTCAGGTGAGGCCCCGGACACTCTGGCTCATGTGGCATCACCCACCTTTGTTGTTGCAGGCGATCCACTTCAAGCGGTCAGCAAAACTCACTTCCCTCCCAATCAGGTAGGTGAAGACCCGGACCTGGTGGATGAGACCCGGTAGGCTTGAGTCCTGGCCGCTAGGGGCCTGGCTGCATCTGGGTCTAGGTTTGGGCTTTGGACTGTGCACTTTCAGCGCTTCTAATCAGGAAGGGTCCAGGGCCTGGGCTTGTGGCAGGGGGGATGCCTGCCTGGGGTGGGGATCTGCCTGATGAGGCTCACAGCCTGCAATTTTCCATCCCCACCATATTCTGTGCCCTTGAGTGCGGCTCTGCAGTCACCCTGATGTTGGACTGTCACCCTGGGTTGCATGGGCCGAGCCTGCAGACACAGCAGGAGGAAGCACTCCCCAAGTCCCCCCCTTCCGTGACACCACTCTCCAAGAGGAACCTTGCGGTCCGGCCAGTTGTACTTCTCCAGCACCGGCTCATAGTCTTCCACGGCCCCATCGGTGATCAGCATGATGGCCTGGTTGCACAGGCTTCCTTGCCCAGCCTCTTGGAACTGCGGGGAGATGTGGTTGTGACTCCCCTGCTCTCCTGCCCCATCCCTTCCCAGTGCTCCCCAACCCACAACAGACCTGCTGCAGGATCTGGAAGGCTTCATGGAGGGCTCGGTCCACGACCCCCACACCTTTGACCATCAACTCGTCCACCAGCTGTTTGAAGTGCTGTTGGAGATAAGAAGTTAGAGGAGGATCAGTGGTCACTGACACTGGGAACCTTCACTGTTGGCGGTACTTTCAGAGGCTGTGCAGAGCTACTTGCCAGGAAGAGCATGACTGCAGGACCCATCCCCTAATTTCACAGCTGGACACCTGCAGCAGAGGTTTCTCAGATGCCCCCAGGAGAAGCTGAGAGGCCGTGAGTGGCCAGGGGCAAGACCACCCCCATCCCTGGAAGGAGAAGCCGAACGGGTTCCAGGTATACCCACCTCTCGGTTGTCCCGATCTGCCTGGACCAAGATCCCCTTAAAACAAGGCTCGATGTAGTGGATGTAGTCGTTATACTGCAGAGGGTGGAGGGCGGAGGGCAAAGGTCAGAGGGCAGAACACACAAGGTCAGTTTTGCAAGTCAGGGCCCAGTGACTTGCTCACAACTCACAGAGAGTCAGGGATGGGCTCGGGGACCCTAAGCTTTTGGCAGTTTCTCTGAGCAGAGGGAAGGAAGTACACGGAACAGCATGACCTTGACTCTGAACATTCTCCCCCGAGTCCTAGCCTGGGCATCTCCTGGGGAGGCCGGCTGGGTGCCATCCAGCCCTGGAGCTCACAGAGCCCAGGATCACCCAACTCTTCTCTCCATTTCTGTCTGTCTGTCCCTCCACTTCATTGCTTTCTGGGGCAGGTGGGGCGGCCCTCAGGAGAATCAGGACGGGGGACTGCTGGTCCTTCCCTCCCGACATGTCTGGATTCAGGGACGAAGGAAGTGGGAGCCGGGGGTCTCCCACCCTGCAGAAAGGAGGGTCTTCCCAGGGTGACACCACCAAGGGCACAGGGGTAGGGCCGAGTTAGAGATCTACTTAGAATCTCCTTCATCTAGATCAGACCCCAGACTCGTCTGAGAGCCCAAGGAGAGCTACTGCCTCAGAGAAATGGACATACGCACTTCCCACATGATCTCAGAAACTGTGGACCCCTGGGAGTCCATCCTAGGTAGGGGGCCCCCAGCTACGGGGGATGAAGCGTCGAGTGCCCATAAGTACAGGCACTCTAGTGCGGTGGAGGTATTTCCCGAATGGGAGGCGTGTTTACCGCAATGATATTCACGAAGTCGTTCTCTCCCAGCGTGTCCAGGATGGTGGAGACCGTGTGCTTGGCGATGGTCATCCGCAGCCCCTTCATGCTGCCGCTTGTGTCCACCACGATCACGATGTCCTTCGGGGAGGTGGCAGCTTGTATGTACCTTTAGTAGAGAGGGAGGGACAGGTCAGAGGTGGGATAGCCAGAGTCAGAACCACCATCAGCCAGGTCTCCCTTGTTTCCATTCAGACTCTGGCTCAAAGTTCAAGTCAACGCCCAGGCTTGCCCATGTCGGGAACCACCCAGCTGTTTGGCAGCCATTGTGGAGGGAATGGTTGGGATCGTGCCCACTGAGCAAGCTTGTCAGGTGGGGGTGGTCAAGTCTTGGTAGTGACCTTTGTCCTCTTTGGTTCAGGCCAGCCTGGGTCCCAGGGGGATCTGACAGTGGGAAGGGAGGGAGCCAGACACCCCCAGACCTGGTTATAGATCTGCCAGAGGAAGGGTGCGGGGGGAGAGGGGATCTGGCCTAGGGTGAGTGTGCTGTCAGCTCAGGGCCCTGGAAGAAGGTGTCGGGCGGCAGGACAGGTGTGGTCAGTCCTGGGGCAGAGCAGCTGTGGGGTGATGCAGGCAGACACTCTTCTTCTCTTATTCTGGGTTAGTTCTGCACACAAGGGTCCCCAGGGTGGGTGCAGGACAGGCAGTGGGGGAGAGCTAGGCAAAACCCGGAAGCTGCACAGAAACGTCAGCCCCAGAGGCCAGGCCCCCGGGGTTGCTTACCAGCCACGGTTCCGGCAGTCGAAGGTGATGACACCGTTCTCATCCGGCGTCCACTTGATGCCTGGGGAAAAGAAGGCCTCACTCAGCGAGGCTGCCCCAGAGTCCCGGACTGGGTGCTGACCCCGGGATGGCCAGGATCCCTGGGGCAGGGCCAGCTGGGGATGTGGGCAGTGTGTGTGGGACCAGTCATCACACCCTGTAAACTGAGGGGGCAGCAAGGCGGCAGGCAGCTGATGGATGGACACTTACCCCCAACTGCACAGATCCAGAGCTGGGTTCACTTCACAGGTAGGACCCCCCAAACTCTTGAACTCCCAGCACCCCAAGGGACACGGGTGAGGCCTGACGCATGTTCCTAAGTGGTTTCCCCACAGATGAAAACCTCTGACTGCAAGCACGTGGACCTTGGACTAGTTGAAACCAGATTTTCTTTTTCATTTCCCTCCCTTTTTTTTCCTTTTTCTTTCCCCCTTTTTCCTTTCTTTTATATATATATATATATATATTTTTTTTTTTTCTTTTTCTTTTTTTCCACACTGTACAACCCCCTTCAGGGCTCACAGCCCACAGGTACAGAGGCTGGGCCAAGGTTGCAGGCTGCAGTTGACTCCATGAGCGCACCAGGAGGAAACTAGACTGTTGATGCTCAAAACCGCCCTTGGATGCCAACCAATCTGAGAACTGAGCAGGAGATGAGTGGGCTCCCGAGGCCCCTCCCCATGTGTCCTTTAACCCCCTTCCCTGAACATCCTCGGGGAGCTGGAACCCCTTCCTGCCTTCGCCCTGGTGCACACAGTCCCTCTTCAATAAAGAGCTCTGCTCGCCTACACGTCTTGAGGGGGAGATGTTCATTTCTATGGCCTTGCTTTCTTAGAATCTGGAAAGGCTTGGGAGCACACACCAGATATTTGTATCAGATAACAGTAAAGGCATCTAATTTGGGGAGGTTAAGAAGTCAGGGTCGGGGCAGAGACGTAAGCAGGAGAGTTCTCAGGTGCCTTTTTGACTGTGAGGAGGGTAAAATATGATTTAATTGTAAAATCTTGTGTTACACGTGCCTGATAAATCCCTGTTACACATGCAGGACTAATGACTAAACAGAAACAGAGGAATAAGTTCATAAGTGATAGGGAAAAAAAAGAGAATCAGAGGGGGAGAATTTATGAAAAAAAGGTAAATCATTAAAAAAGAAAGAAAGAAGCAAAAAGAAAACATAAAAATAGAAGGAGAAGAAATCTAAAAAATAAGATTATAGCATGTCCAAAATGTGCTTAACTTGCCAAATAGTAAAAGAGATTGTCAGTTTGAATAAAAATTAAAAAGCTATATGCTATTTTCAACAGATATGGCTAAAACAAAGTGACATAGAAGATTGGAAGTAAAAGGATGGAAAATATATCGATATCAAGCATATACCAACCAAGAGCACACTAATATCTCTAAGAATATCAGATGAAATAGACTTAAATAGTGTGTTGTAAAGGTTAATGAGGAGCAAGCAGACATAAAATCAGTAAAGGCATGGAAAATTTAAATAATACGATTGACAAGCTTCATCTAATTATGTGAGCAGAATTTCTATCCAACAATTAAAGCCCCCATTTTCTGCTCAAGCACATGTAGAATATTTACAAAAGTTGATGACATATTAAGCTGTTAAACTAGCTCCCAACTAATTTCATACAATCAGCACCAATATACACCATGTTTTCTGGCTACAAATAACTGAAATAGAAATTTTTAATAAAAAGATAAAGATAAAATCCCCATATATTTGGAAATTACAAAACACACTGTTAAATTGCTAAAAGTTCAAAGAAGAACTCACAGGGGAATCCAAAAATATTTAGAAGCAAACAACATTAAAACACTACCCTGACACCAAGAAGCACAAAGATTTTTGTGGGTCAAAAGTCACAGTGAATAGAGTGCAAAGGGAATCCATGGAATGCAAGGAAATAGCCAGACTGTAAAGAGAACTCAGTGACAATAAGAGCAAACAATCCAGGACAAAAATGGGCAAGCTTTGTGTCCGCACACAAGTTGAGGGCTCTGGGAGCCCTGATGCAGCAGGAATTCCTCCCTGGGGAAGGCCTGAGGGACATGAGAGCTGCCTTCAAGCCTTTGAAGGGCTGTGGCATGGAAGAGGGATGAACTTGCCCATTGAGGCTCCAGAGGACAGAAAAGAACCAATGACTTGTTGTGGATTTGGGTAGTGAGACAGGAGTGTCCCCTGGCTTAGACGGTAAAGAATCCGCCTGCAATGCAGGAGGCTCAAGTTTGATCCCTGGGTTGGGAAGATCCCCTGGAGAAGGGAATGACAGCCCACTCCAGTATTCTTGCCTGGAGAATCCCATGGACAGAGGAGCCTGGCAGGCTACGGTCCAGGGATTGCAAAGAATTGGACATGACTGAGCAACTAACAATTTCACGCACTTTTTTCACAGGAGGGTCCACCCTGGGGAACCTGTGAGCTCTGAGGTTGTTTTGTACTCCTCCTAAGAGAAACCCTGGGGGACATGGAACCATCCTTAGGACCCCCGAGGACGGGCTGGGGTTGGGGACCTGGGACCCTTGGCTGCAGTGCTTATACCCGGATGAACGTCTCCTTGAGCAATAAAATACAAAGAAACTATAGACTAAAAATAACTACACGTGTGTGCAGTTGAGGCAAATTATGGACAATAAATATAAAAACACCAAAAACACAATTGCCACTTCTGAAGAACTGGGAGCAAAAGCAGGGCACTGTGCATGTCCCCTGCACTCAACACCACCAAGGTGTGGGCAGACCACATAGGCACCCCTCCAGCCCAGCCCTGGGCCACACCCCTACCCTCACCCTGATAAAAGGAACCAGCTCATCCCCCATGGGAGCCAGCAAGGGAAACTGGGTTTTGTCCTTGTTCCTCACTGCTGCAGCAGGGGCCCCAACTTTACAGCCTTGCCTGAATGTCTTGTCTGTCTTCTAGTCAATTACTGTTGATTAAGGGGGTAACACTTGTCTCAGAAAAGAGGGCCATGATAAGGCTTTCTGGAGAGGGGGCTAAAGTAAGAGTGGGTGTGAGCTGTGGAGGAGAATCCTTTTAAATGAGAAGTAAAAGAAGGCAGAACTCTTGGAGACCTTGTAGATGGGCTTCTGTTTTCTGTTTGGTCAGTAGTCCAGGGAGATTCCCCTGCTGTCTGCTGGGCTGGCAACTAGCCAGTTCAACCTCATTCCCGCTGTTGAACATGGACTTTGCCCCATTTCTCCAGCGAGGATGCAGCCTACTGAAGGTCAGAACTCTATGGCCCTCCTTCCCACCTCCCACATGCTTCTTGCAGGACCAGAGTCCGGGTGGGCATTGATTGGCTATTTACCGAGGGGTCCAACGGCATCGTTGGTTCATTCCTTCATCAATTATCACTTGAAAGTGTGCTTATTGGGTTGCAGTGTTGCCTTGTTCCCAGAGACAGCCTGGAGGACTGTGGAGATGCCTCCCCGAGTCCTCACCTGGGTAGATGCGGAAGAACCCCGTGGAGCTGCCGAAGTACTGCCAGGTCAGCGTTGGGTCTCTCTGGAAGTTCTCCACGAAGACAGCGTTCAGAGCTTCGGACATGTAGATTCCATTCAAGATATCTGGGTCTAAAGGGTGAGGTTGTGGGGGGAATGCAGGGGAGATGAGATCAGTCTTCACCTGCTGAATATATGTGCACACACACACGCACACACTTGAAAGCACATTGCCTGCAGTGAGGCCATCCACACCCACACTCACTCTCCCCTGACCCGTGGGCCCCATTTACTCCCCGGGGGGGGATGTCCGGCGGGCACCTTTGTTGTAGACGTTGGTGGGCAGCTGCACGCTGCTCAGGGTCGTGTTCACCAGCAGGTCGCTGAAGTGCGCGTTGGCCTCTAGGAGGAACTCGGCCCCCAGCTCCACGTATGCCCCGCTGGAGTCCTTCTCGTTGAGGAGGACGGAGTTGTAATAGTCAAACTAGGGTGACCGAGAGGGACAGGGGGAGAGAGAGGGCCAGGCGTGGTGGGCGTCAGCATGAGCCGAGGATTCCAGCCATCACTGATTTGGGGCAAGTTCCAAACAGTTGGGCCCAATGTTGATTCTTTGGGTTTTGAAGTAAACTGTCTGGATTATGGCTTCACTCCCCACTTTGTTTGGTGTGTAGACACAGCCAGCATTGGGACAGACAGGCAGACACAAATTCAGGGGAGGTGGGCAAATGGAGGCACCCTCACCAGCACCCTGAGCTCTGATGGGAGTGGGAAGGCTCCTAGGACCCAGAACCGGGTCCCTGCACCGGGGCTTCCCTCT